TGACCTGATAATTTGTATTAACTTCATAAATATGCTTGTATTTATGTTTTAGTTGGCCATACATATTTTAATTACATTGTTTTACTTTAATATAAGTGTTTTATTTCAAATTATATAAAATATTGATGCAATTTTATGAAATATTCGCTGAAACGTTGACCTGATAATTTTCAATTGACCTGATAATTTTTGAATGACCTGATAATTTGTATTAACTTCATAAATATGCTTGAATTTATGTTTTAATTGGCTATACATATTTTAATCACATTGGTTTACCATAATATAAGTGTTTTATTTCAAATTATATAAAATATTGATGTAATTTTATGAAATATTCACTGAAAACGTTGACCTGATAATTTTCAATTGACCTGATAATTTTTGAATGACCTGATAATTTGTATTAACTTCATAAATATGCTTGAATTTATGTTATAATTGACCATATTTATTTTAATTACATTGTTTTACTATAATATAAGTGTTTTATTTTAAATTATATAAAATATTGATGCAATTTTATGAAATATTCGCTGAAACGTTGACCTGATAATTTTCAATTGACCTGATAATTTTTGAATGACCTGATAATTTGTATTAACTTCATAAATATGCTTGAATTTATGTTATAATTGACCATATATATTTTAATTACATTGTTTTACTATGATATAAGTGTTTTATTTCAAATCATATAAATATTTGGTGCAGTTTTATGAAATATTCGCTGAAAACGTCGACCTGACATATTTTGAATGACCTGATTATTTTTATTAACCTGATAAATATGGTTAAATTTATGTTATAATTAACCATATATATAGTCCAACTGCATAGTTTTACTCTAATATAAGTGTTTTATATTAAATCATATAAATATTTGATACAATTTTATGAAATATTCGCAGAAAACGTTGACCTGATAAATTTTTATTGACCTGATAATTTTTGAATGACCTGATAATTTCTATTAACCTGATAGATATGGTTAAATTTATGTTATAATTGACCATATATAAGTTGACTGCATAGTTTTACTATAAGTGTTTTATATCAAATCATATAAATTTTTGATGCAATTTTATGAAATAATCGCTGAAAACGTTGACCTGATAAATTTCAATTGACCTGATTATTTTTATTAACCTGATAAATATGGTTAAATTTATGTTATGATTGACAATATATAGTTCAACTGCATAGTTTTACTATAATATAAGTATGTTATTTTAAATCATATAAATATTAGATGCAAATCAAGAAAATGACATTATTTTTATATGACCTGATCATTATACTAAAGACCTGATAATTCCAATGCACTTATATTATTGGATGACCTGATGATTTTAAAATGCCTGGTATATTTAATTTATTTTTTTTCTCCTAGAATTAAGACATATCTAATTATTATCAAATATATGCCGATTATCACAAATTAGATGTTTTTTACGGCATGACCTGATATTTTTAATGAATGGCCTGATAATCGAGGATAATCTGTCGATAATTATTAAGATTTTATAAAATGTAAATTAAAACGCTTTTACATACAGACTAGCAGGACATATAGAAATTTCCTGATATTTTAATCGACTTGATATTTTCTTATAAACCGAAAATTTAGCGGATGACCTGATACATGTATTAGTTTTATTGGTTTTAGTTGACCTGATGGTTTTAAGTGACCTGGTGGTTTTTAATGACCTGATATTTTTTAAGTTACTGAAAAATCTTGATAGTGTTTTTCAGATAAGAACTCTTAATCATACATGTAGGGAATATATGGATTTTATTTTTTAATTAAACCGTGTGAAAAATCTCCAAATAAAATCAAGTGAATAATATAGACTGGAGAATCTAGATCGTTATAAACTTAACAAATTTATTATTATTTTTAGCTCACCTCGACGAAGTCGAGATGAGCTTATGCTATACCCCCGGCGTTGGCGTCGGCGTCGGCGTCGGCGTCCCAGGTTAAAGTTTTAGGAGCAAGTCCATTCCCAAGTAACTATAAGCCCTACCTGAACCAAACTTGCATGGATGATGCATCTAGGGATGTACACTACAAGACTTGCTTCGGATGCTGGATCTGACCTACATTTTCCAGATGAGTGACCAGGTTAAAGTTTTTGGAGCAGGTTAAAGTTTTTGGAGCAGGTCCATTCCCAAGGAATTATAAGCCCTACCCAGACCAAACTTGCATGGATGATGCATCTAGGGATGTACACTACCAAAATTGCTTCGGATGCTGGATCTGACCTACATTTTCCAGATAAGTGACCAGGTTAAAGTTTTTGGAGCAGGTCCATTCCATAGGAACTATAAGCCCTATTTGGATCAAACTTGCATGGATGATGCATCTAGGGATGGACATTACCAGACTAGTTTCGGATGCTGGATCTGACCTATATTTACATTCCCAAGTATCTATAAGGCCTAGCTAAACTAAACTTGCATGGATGATGTATCTAGGGATGGACACTACCAGACTTGCTTCGGATGCTGGATCTGACCTACATTTTCATTCCCAAGTAACTATAAGCCCCAGCTTAACCAAACTTGCATGGATGATGCATGTAAGGATGGACACTATCATACTTGCTTCGGATGCTGGATCTGACCTATATTTTCCATACAGGAGACTTGGTTAAAGTTTTGGAAACAGATCAATCCGAATGAACTTGAAGACCTTGATATATGCAGTATTAACAGTTATGAATATTTGTTTACACTATACATATTTTTCACGCTACAGGCTTAGAAATGTGTACATGCCATGTAAGGGGTTAAACACAACTTGCAAGAATATTGTTGTTGGGATGAATACTAAATATTAACAAAATATGATGTGAGATTTGCATTACTTAAACTGAAAACATTCGTCGAGGTGAGCTTCGTAATCTTTGATTACCTATGTTTTTTTTTACTAAAGTGAAAAGAATTTTATATAGAAAACTTCACAAATATTTTAATGATCACAAAGAATTTTTACTATCAGTGTTTATGGAATCATTTTTTTTTTCTTAATTAGAGAGAAACATTGTTTAATCTCTTAATAAATTTTCAATTGATTATACATTCCGGTGCTTATCAAAACATGTGGGGGCATTGTTAATTGTCAGAACACAGGTGTGTATATCTTATCACTGTATATACAAACCCTATCGATTAGGCAGTGTGTATACACAACAACAGGAGAAAAACCCTTTGACACTCTCGTCAAGATGGTGTCTTCTAGCTATTCCTACTTTTTAAAAATCTCAATTCCACCTATTCCCACTTGCAAATAAGAATAGATGTTTAGATTTACCTGTATTTTGTACATTTTAAGACAGAAAATAATGAATACATCTATGAGAAAATATGATTTATTTCAGAATTTTAAAATAATAAAAAGATATTACAAGAAAAAGCAACTTAATACCTAGATTTAAGAACATAGTTGATTATTTGTTTACCCAAAATTCCACCTATTCCCACATTAAATCTTACCTTTTTCTACATGATTTTCAAAAAAGTGGGAATAGGTAGACTGTCAAGATAGTATTAAATTTTTACTACCAAAGTAAGTATATTTAACAAATTCTGAACAAGACATAAAAGATATCTTTATCAGTATTAATCTTTTACGATAATAAAATCCATATTTTGAGTTTCAAAAATTTTGTCAAATGACGGACTATATTTTCTGTACAGAAAGAAATAAAAAAAATAAGAATAAGAGAAAAACAAACACAGAAAAACATGGAGAATTTATATGTTTTTATTTCTATCAGGTCAATGGAAAAATCAGGTCAAACGATTTTCCTAGTTTATGTCTCGTTACACATAATTATACCAACATTTTTAAACATAATTATGCTTAAAATATCTGTCCTATACCCCCAAAATATAAGAATAACCAAAACATAACGATAAACACAGAAAACTCGGAGAATTTATTTCTATCAGGCCAATAGAAAATATCAGGTCAATACACTTTCTTGCTTTACAGCTCGTTACTCATAATTATACCGATATTTTTAACCCAAACATACCTAATGTATCTGTCCTATACCCTAGAAATATAAGAATAACCAAAATTTAATGATAAACTCAGAAAACACGGAGATTTTATAAGTTTTTATTTCCATCAGGTCAATATCAGGTCAATAAAAAATATCAGGTCAAGCCATTTCCGTATTTTGTGGCTCGTTACGCATAATTATACCAATATTTTTACAAATAAGTATGCCTAAATATCTGTCTTATACCCTAGAAATATAAAAATAACCAAAACATAACGATAAAAACCAAAAAAGCACGGAGAATTTATAAGTCTTTATTTCCATCAGGTCAATATCAGGTCAATAAAAAAATATCAGGTCAAGCCATTTCCGTAGTTTGTGGCTCGTTGCGCATAATTATACCAATATTTTTACAAATAATTATGCCAGAATATCTGTCTTATACCCCAGAAATATAATCAAAACCAAAACATAATGTTAAACACAGAAAACAAATAAATTATATTAATTTTTATTTCATCAGGTCAATATCAGGTCTTTAGTATATCAGGTCTTTAGTATCTTCCGTTCGTATGAGTGGCCGAGTCAATAGGACTTATCATCAATATTATCCAAACACATTACTGTCTCTTATTGTACTGTGAATATCTCATACTTTAAATCGCTTTATTTGAAAAGTTTGAAGAAAAAAAAGACAAAAATTTTCATAAGCCATGTCAGAGTATTTTTTTTAAAACATACATACCTTTTGGGAAATTTTGTCCAAGACAAAATATATGAAATCTCTGGCTAATCCAGACAAGAAGGATCACAATTCAACCAGCACAATTTTTCTCTCACTAAATTAACCCGTAAGAAACAATAACAATATTTTTATAATGATTTTATTGACAAATAACAGAACCATGCAATAACTAAAGTTCTCTGCTCATTGAGATTTACCGTCAAGACGCTAATATCTACTTTTACACCAATCTTCAACTTTCACTTTCGGAATAAGTACTGTGAATAGTAGTTTAGTAAAGAAGGAATGTGCAGATCACTAGCATACAAATATACTATCAATGACCTGATAAGAAGAGTTGTCATCTGACTTTATCGTGGCGTTCGTAACTTCTCGGGACAAATTGACTCTGTGAACAATATGCGGTTTATCCAGTTTGAGAGGGGCGGAGTGAGACAGGTGGGGGTAGAGGTACGCGATGGAGGGGACATCGTGGATTTACGTGCAGGAGACTCTGCAATTCCAGCAGACATGCGAAGTTTTATTGAAGGTGGACAGAAGAACTTACTTGCAGCAAAAAGGTAGGATGTTCCCTCTAGGACAGTGAAGTATACAATGTTGTTACATGTATTGAAGAGCCGGATCCAAGAAAGGTGATAAGTTAACGAAATATTTATCTCGAATAAACTCTCGTATCATGTTTCAAACTAAGAAAGAGAAAGAGAAAGAGAAAGAGAGAGAGAAAGTGTTCCACACAAACGTGAAAATATATAAAAATATGATACCAGTAAAAATAAAAAGCTATTCACTGCTCCAAGATGCAGGTCATTACCTGCAAGAAAAAATTGGCACACAGGAATCAAATTCATACTTATTGGAGGACTCTAGATTGCTACAGATTATTATCGACCCCTCCTACTTCACATTTTCAGAGATTCCATCCAGAAACAACAAAATTCAGATATTTATTGAGAACCTGAGCCGCAACATGGTATTTGCTCTACATTGCCATAGAGCTCAAATTATTAAAAAAATTAGTACACAGTCTACAACCAACAGACCTTAATATTTTTCCTTTTTTTTTGATAAAGAGGAATATAAAATTATTTTTAGAGTTAAAATAATTTTTTTAAATAGAAACAGTCATGGAAACGGTGTAAAGTTCTTTTTAATTGTGGCTTTTTTTTTTTTTTTTTTTTTTTTTTTTTTTTTTTTTTTTTAAGAATTTTTAGGGCCGAAACAATTTTACTTTAGGAGTTAAGCTACTGTATAGTATGTAAATTCTTGTTTTATTTTTAGTTGGTCTTTCACCTCTAACTTTATTTTACAGCACCACATAGAATAGATTTTACTAACTGTCTTTTCCTCACTTTATCTCTTTTATTTTTAATTTTTATGCCTTTTATGAAACAACCTTCACGGGTGCTCCTTATACATAGGAGGGAAATCCACAACTGAACTGAACTGATGCAGATGAATTACTTAAATTAATTTATAAGGTATTTTATGACAGATGCTGTGAAACAGCGGAGTTTATCACTTGGTCTAAAGACAATCAGGGCAAAATCGGGTATATTTAATATGCTAAATCCATCAACCTTTGGTAAACGATAAAAATCCATACTCTCTGATACTAAAACAGAACGTTCTGTTTTAGTATATCAGAGGACGTATGGATTTTTATAAAAGGCTAGTTTTAGCTTAAATTTTGGATTTTTTAGTAGTAATACTTTGTGAATATGTCATAGAAAAATATTTTAATCAAAAAAGTCAAAGAACCCTTGGAGTACGAACACGGAAAGCGGGTCCCGTCCCGAAGCATCTGTGTAAATACTGATAGACTAAGTCACAGTTGTAAAAAAACAACTATAACGAATATCGCCGTAAATTAACATTAGATTAACATTACAGATTAACAGATTAACATGCTAACATTAGATTAGATTAATTAGAAGTAGAAGTAGAAATTACCAGTTTAACTGACTTAACACTTGATGACTTGGTTATAGTTGACACAAAATGTTTACGGGAAACGACGATTTTGCCTCTATAAATTTTTTATACAATATTTTTGTTGCAAAGTTATTGATGGTACAAGAAGATTTTGATTTGAAAGTTTATTAGACATAACGGCAATTCTATAATTCATTGTGTATTTCTGGTACTGTGAGACCTGAATTAAGAAATCTGTTCTTGACTTGAAGAAAATAGTCTCTTCCTTGTCAGTTGACATGTGCCCCCCCCCCCCATAGAAAATTGTTTTTGGGGGTGTGGGTTGGTTTTTTTGTGGCTTGTCAAAGAATTTTACGAAGAAGAAGAAAATAATTTGTCTTTAATCATCTTGAGAACAAAATAATCCGTCCTTGACTGGCATGAAAATAAATGCATGAAATGTTATTTTAAAAATTTTCCTTGGTCTCACCTCAAAATAAAATGACCTTCCCCTAATTCTCAATTTTTATGGATTTTTATTACATGCCAGATCAACCAGTAAATTAAAAGATTTCCAATTCTTTTGATTCATGCAATAAAATTTGTTAAAAGAAAACAAGGGGGGGGCATGTAATTGAGAATAATCGATATCTTATAGCGCACATAAACTAGCAATAGAAAGTGGTAGATATATTTCCACATCAAGAAATGAAAGATATTGTAATGTTTGCAATACTGGTGTGATTGAGGATGAAATACATTTTCTTTTTCACTGTAATTCTTATTCTAAGCTAAGAAACACATTCTTTAGTAATATTTATAACATAACAAAGAAAAATAATAAACTTAGCAATGAGAAATATATGTTACAATTATATGTAAACAGTAATATACATAAATTCTTGAAAATTACTGTTAAATTCATCAAAGACTGTTTTGAACTTAGAAGTCAACTACTTGACAATTCATGAAAAAAACTATGTAAACATTATTTAATGATGTTCAGTGGGCCTTTGCCAGTTATTATAATTGTGTTTGTGCCAATAAAGTATTTGTATTATTTGTATTTGTGATTAAAGGGGGGGGGGGTATTTTAATTTTTTGACCTAGTGATATTTATTCATTCGGGTACCTAAAGTGTATGAATTAAAACCAACTGAGTTATGATGACAGTTGAAGAATCTACCTACGTATAATTTATATCGGGCAAAGAGGTCATAGCTCTCATCTATTTCAAGCGAAATGCGATTGAGTAAGTGGTGCGCGGATCCAATAAAAGCAGTCATAACAAAATAAATATGCTGCACGAGTATTGCAGCATGATTCAAACTACGATTAAAACTTTTTTATTGTTGTTGATCTTGCGATTATTTGGATATCTACACCTTATCTGAAGCTAGAATGTTGCATGTATTAATAGCATTTTCTTAATTCAAATTTTTGTGGAAGTGCAAATGACTTGATTTCTTTCTTAACATATTGTTTTATGATAAGAAAAGTAATCGTAATTCTTTGACAGTGTGATAGACAGAGGCGGATCAATCATTCCGAGGGATACTGTCAAAGTGGTAGCTCCTATCTATAACCCAGACAAAGTACTATGTGTGGGGATGAATTATAAGGACCACTGCGAGGAACAGAACGCACCTGTCCCCGTAGAACCGGTCATCTTCAACAAGTTCCCCAGCAGCATCATAGGCCCCACGGAGGACCTAGTGTACCCCGAGGAGACGAAGGTCAGATTCTATTTAAATCAGCATACTTACTGTTTAATGTAGAATTCTATTGAATTAATGAGGGAACGAAATATCAAAATGCATGGTCAGGGTTAGAATCTTCTTGTTTGCATGCCCTTACGATTATTTAATCCTACAGGTGGTATTTCAGCAAATTTTTTTTCAAGTGTAATATCAGGCAGTAAATTTTGTATTTATCTCCATCCCTTCATTCAAACTTTAGATTAAAACATGACAGTAAATTATTTATGTTTCATTGGGCATATTGACAGGTACACAGATTTCTCAATGTATTATACTTGTGTAAAAACATCTTTGTTGAGAAAACGATATCCGTGGACTAGGGATCTTATTAAATAAAATAAATGTTAAAAGCTCTTGAACAAATCTTGATATTTAAAAATGGGGAAGGGGGTACATTTATTAGTTTACACGTCTATACAAAGAAAGATAACTTGAGTGTATATACTTGTAAGTTTTCTGTAAGCCCTTGTTGGTAAAAATTATAATAGATCATCGTCTCGAGCCACGGTCCGTAGTCCGCATATAGTTCTCTCCGGAGTGGGAGAGCATCGTACATTTTGGCCGTGATTTGCGACGATTAGAATAATCTCAGCTGTAAGATAAATTGTTTTTCCACTTAGTAAAAGGAAAAAAATCAATTTTCAGAAGCTGGATTGGGAAGTAGAATTGACAATTGTCATTGGAAAAGAAGCCAAGCGTGTTCAGGTATACTCCTACAGTCCTATACAACTCTGTCTATTTACAAATGTCAGATTTGATCGGTTTCTTTAATTTTCAATTTGAAAAATAAAACTAAAACCCTTGCAGGAAAAAGATGCCATGAATTACGTTTTTGGGTATACTGTTGCACATGACGTCAGCGCCCGTGACTGGCAGCTAGAACCTGGAAAGAATGGTGGGCAGTGGTTGATTGGAAAAGCCATGGATGGTTTCTGTCCTCTAGGACCCGCTATTGTCATGAAAGAGGACATAAATGGTCAGTTTCAGTGCTAAATAAAATTTTCAAATTAATTGAGGTGTAGATATAAAATTCATGATTGACTGACAACGGTATTGCATCTGTATTTTAAAATATTCGTGGGTGAATTATATCGAGATAACGAACAGTATTCAACAACGAACAGTATTCAACCTCAAAAGTCCATCCAAACAATTAGTAGTAGGGCAAATAAAGACTTCTGAATCGCCAGAGGTGGGATCAGGTGCCAAGGTGGAGTGAGCATCCCCTGTAGATGCCGACCGGTCACGCTCGCTTTTTTCTCCTCGTCACAATCAGGAAATATTAACAGAAAAAAATCTATATTAGACCATTCAGTGTGTAAAAAAAAAATGACCTATGAAAAACGTCCATCGGGATGCATTTGAATTTATAATGGAAGACTGTGTCTGCTGACAAGGTCATTGTAACACCATATATATTGCTAAATTATGACAGACTGAAGAAAAACTTCTGATATTCTTGATTCATCTTTGTTAATATTACTTACCTTGTTTAAGGAATTGTTCGTATGTAGAGCATGTTTTTGTTTATAGAATCACTTTAATTTTGAGATGTACACCCAATATACAGTTGTGAAGAGTAGATTACTCCACAAGAATTGAAAGAAGTCATCACGTTTATAACATTTGACTTACTAGTACTAATTTTTGGGTCAGATCCTCACAATCTGGGACTGCGGTGTAAAGTGAATGGCGTCACCAAACAAGACAGCAACACAAATCAGCTGGTACACAAAACGGCTGCCATGGTAACATTTATTTCTCGGTAAGCTTTCTTATTTAACATTTAATAATCCCCTTTCAGGATTAATTTGCAGGAACTGTATTTTGCTCTAGATAGAAAAGTTAGATGCTTAAAGTCTGATACTTTACATCTGGGAAGTACACGTATCCTAAAACTGGTCGTTTTTAGAACTTATATGTCGAAAAATATGCTATTGTTTCACGCAACAAAACATTAAGCTATAACATTATTTACAGTACTGACTGTTATCTTGTACCTGTTTTCGGTGAATCACCTTAACTGTAATCCCGCCAAATCAGAAATAAAACACTTTTTAAAGACACAATTACACTTTTTGCGTAAACTCAAATTGCATCATAATGGATTTTGCTTAATTGCACTTTTTGCATTATTGCGTTGTTTTTTGTTTTTGTTTTTTTTTGAAAATGCCCTATATGACGCCTTTCAAATGTTTAATCCTTAGGAAATTTTATACTTTACGAATGTAATTTTGGAAAGATGATCATTTTCTTGCATGTTAGTTGTTGATCCTCCGATTATTTTATTTTTTAAAAAACTTTAATCTCGTATCGCTAAAGTATGTTTGAATGATAAATAAGACATGTGAATTTCAATTACTAAAACTTGTCTTTTTATTTATTTATTTTTTTTTAGATTTATGACACTGAAACCAGGAGACCTAGTTTTAACGGGAACCCCGCCTGGTGTCGGAGTCTTTAGAAAACCCCCAGAATATCTCAAGGTAAATATTTTATATGATAAAAGAAAATACATATATATATTTATTTACACATGTATGTCCAAATGCATACTTTTAATTTTAGTCTTGCAACTTGTCATTTGTAAAGATTTGATAGGATCTTTAAATTATGTTAACTAAGAATCACACTATGTACATTTAAACAAAGGCCCAGCAACTGGTATATAGTATATAGAATTTAGGAAATGCTGACTTTTAACTGGGTCATTTAAAATTTCTTTAACATCAGCTTATCTGTCAATAGCCTCCCTCAGCTTAAAAAAAAACGATTGTACTTGGAGCATAATAAATCGGGAGATGTAAACACCATATGCAAGTGATGGCAGAATATAACAACATAAATAAGGAAAGTTGATGGATAAAGCTGAAATCATCTCGTTTTTCATATGACTAGTTCTTATTTGGCCCTTAGATGGCACGTTTATAGTCAGTAAAATATCCAGATATGATACAGATCTGGAAGACTGTAAAGCGTCTGTTATTTAATTTCTCTGGAATATATCGAGTTGACATATGGATGGAGGTAATTATTGTTAATTGATAACTTGAAAACAAGTCGTCGATTTAACTAAAAGTCGAGCTGAAGGCCAAAGCAAGCGTTTTCTTCTCATGTCGATGTTTCTGAATCATTCTGCTTCATAGGAATATAAAAACAGGTGGGCAGCTATTGAAGGTGCACAGTTAGTATCTTTTGGAATTCCAACATTTTGTTGGAAGACTTCGTCTCTGAAGCCTCCATATATGCCGTCAATGAGGAACTTTTAATTTCAACTTCGGAGCACTTTTGTGAAGAATCAGAGCGATTTTTACGAAGTAACTTTGTCGATGTTCAATCAGAAGATGTGAAATACAAAGCAGTTCTTTATGAAATCAAGATGCTTTGTTTTTAACATATGGCTCATCAACATAAATTGCGTTGATGTGTTTAGATTACAACATGTATGATACTTGACTTTTAGATGTATTGAGATTAAATTTATTTTGTTTTTTAGAAAGGAGACGTGGTGGAATGTGAAATTGATGGCATTGGAAAAGTTGTCAACAAAATAGTGTAGAGAACTGTCGACAAAATAGTATTGAGAATTGTTAACAAACTAGTGTAGAGTCAACAAAATAGTGTAGAGAATTGTCCAAAAAATAGTGTAGAATTTTACTGTCAACAATGTAGTGTAGAGAACTGTCACAAAATAGTGTTACTTTTACTGTCAACAAAATCTAGTGTAGAATTAAACTATTAGGCTATTGTGGTTTACACGTAAGGGAACTTATTGATTTCGATATTTTAAGAAAATCATCGCCAGAAGCCCAGAGATGCAACTCAGAAACGTTTATTTGAATGGTCAACTGGGGATCTGTAGATTAACTATTATAAGGAAATCATTTTATCTGATTGACAAGTAAAACAAAATGAAATTTAACATGTTTAATTTGTAAGGGAATTGAATCCTGCTTTCTTTCATGCGTAATATGACAGTGCAGAATTCAGGTGCAATAAATCTTTAAATAGATTGAGTGTTTTGATTTGCCATTTTATGACCCAGAAGCGCAATTAAAGCTCACAAATTGCATTCGTACAAGAATTTCAAATAGTTGACATTGTATCGATCATTATCGGCCATTTAAATATTCTATATAGAAAAGGAGTATTACTGCCATATCTAATTCATACATATGTAACAGATATTTGTTACAATCTGCACACGTTTCATTTTGAATTTCGGTACTCACAAATACCCGTATTACTTTCTGGAAGTTCAGATTTCTGTAGTCTGTAATGGTAAATTTGATTAACTGCTGTAGCAAATGGGTTTCAAAATCTATGAATATCACACATAATGTTTTAAGCACCGCTTTTTTTCTAAAATTCCTTTAAGGAAATTAATTAAATGCTAATCAGTTGTTTTTAGTTTTGATTCGTTTTCAAATGTTTTTGAGTTCGTGTTTGTTGGATCTTCTAGAAATTTCCGACTATGCTTTGAGTCTGCAGATCCTGTCCTTAAACGTTCTGCAGATTCAGATCGATAAAAGCGTTCCGTTGATGCGGATCGAATTCGATTGATTCTTCTTGTGAAGTTTGTATTTGTGGATTCTTCGACCCAGCGAATGAGTCGAGAATCTACTTTTGTGTCTTCGTGAATCCTCACTTTTTCTTTTTCACCGGAGTTCAGTGCGTCGTGGACACCAAGGTTATGTACATTTAACATAGCCTGGGTTTCATACTTTCTTCCAAACTTAGCTTGAGTTTCTTCTACAACATATGTATTCACACTAGGAATTATTTCTGAATCCTCTCGAAACAACTCTTTTCCAATATTATCTGGAAGTCGGTACGAAAATTTGACCTTTTTTTCTTCGGTGGGAATCGGCGATTTGTTCCCGCTGTGTGGTCTAGAAGTAGAAGAAGTGGGACGTAATGGAGAGCCCACTCGTTGTCTAGCAGACGTTGGTGTTCTAGGACGGGCGTGTAATTTTGAGGAAACAGAAATTCTCGGTGCTAGAGGAGTAATATTCGTGCGACTCTTTTTGTCCAACTGAAGAGGAACACGTCGGATTATGTAGTCTGATTCACGAACAGTACTGTTTGGGGCTAAATAACTGTTTTGATTGTTGATTTTCAGACGTCTTTTGAATACTTGTAATGAAGTATGTATCTGGGCCTGTCTTTGCGCTGCTTCGGTTCTGCGTAATATTAATGGCACAGATTTATGAAGTCCAGATGAAGATTTTATAGCATTGCCACGAACTTCATATCCTGGGTTTTGATTTTCTGGTACGTAGGCATTGCTGTCCTCCATCTTAAATCTAACTGTTTTAGCACTAGCTGTTCTTGGGTCACTCTGAATCAAGTGTTCATCCCTGTGTGAAACGTCCCCAAAATCCAGCGCGGGGAAGCGATTGGCGCCTTTACTTCGCGTCTCTTTTAGCATTTTCAAATGAATTCTTTTTACCTTTTCATTCTGTTTGTCTTCCTTTGTCTTTATCGGTTCAATGGGAGCGATTCCTCCTTTCTTCTTTAGTTGATATATTATTGCAGAATCATCGACATTCATATCGATGTTTTCATCAGTTTGTTCCTTTACCAGTTCAATGATATGTTGTCGAAGTTCATTGGCTACATCTGTTCTCAGAGGACTGCGCATGCGTCCTTGACACTGGCTGTGTACAGTGGCTGGGGTACACACACGTAACATGATTTATATCTTGGTACTTCCACTGCAAAAGAACAAATTTTGGAAAATTACCACCTCATATTCCAGATTATTCATCAATAAATAACACACATGTTGTTGAAAGGCTTTCCGTAAAACCCTATGTAATAGGGCTCCTGTCATACCCATATTATGTACTTTCTCTTTTATTTCGCCCTGACAAGTAGTTAATAAACAAGTTAATCCGATCTAATTAAATCTTTTCTATCAAAGTAACACAGTTCTATTTAATGCTCGAAAAATCAAATCCAGAGTTAAGAAATTTTAGGCAAAGTTAATAACGCTTTAAAAGAAAACCGTCAAAGGTGGAAAACACCGTTTCTAAATAGATTCTATTAAGACTTGAAATTCTTAGAAAGTAATTAATTTGTTAGTAAAAAAAAAGAAACCATCTCTTACCCCAGTTTACACCAAATTCATAAACTACGTCATTTTAATAGATCATATTCCAAGACCTTGTATTCAAACCTTCCGTCTAAATTGATAACGAAACACAAAACCTCCTGGTTTGTCAAGATACACTCAAAACATATCTAGTTATAATCTTCAGAGGGGTCAAACCATTTCACATATAACAATCCCTGGACTATACAGATTTAATATATCCCGTTAATTTAATTACTAAGGTTTGTCGTACACGAACGGTTTTCAAAGATTTAAATGCATGTTTTGTTGATTGTATTAAATAGCGGCTTTATCGTGCTGGTGAATCGCATATACGGAATTAAAGCTGGATTTGGAAAACATAAGTATTCGTCCTCAACAGGCAGAGTCACGCGCCTCTTGGAGATAACATTGTCCCCTTTTGTCAAGGAGGGGTCCTACCGACTTATATCTAGTCTTTTTTCCCTCTACTTTTAAGCAAATTTTGACAATTGCATTCAAATATTACAATCCAGTGGTAGGAAGAGAAAGCTCTTTACACCAATTTTAAATTCTTTTTGCAAAGAAAGCATGTTGCTCAGAGCATGAAAAAAGTCAAATGAAACTCTTGGTAAAGCTTTTATTTTAAAAAACCAATAATGTACATTGAATATTCAAAAACCTAGTCTTTAGATAAGTGTGAGGAGGTTTTATGTTTCTTTTTAATGTAAGACGTCTTTCAGCCTACTCAACTATTAAATGACGTCGATTTATTCATAAATATCTTAAATGAAATGGCACCAATTTAAAGATAAAATGTACATCAAATTCAGTGACACCTGTATTGCGAACTTTATCACACTGAGGAATTATTAGAAAAAACAAAGAATTTCACCATCTTTTTGCAGGAATTATTGCTTACTTTTAGTTTTCAATATCAAAACGTTTTACTTACTGATGAAGAATTTCCGTGCTGAATTGCAGAACTTGAACGATTACTTTTTAAGTTTTCTTTTTAACTAAATTTGTCAATAATCCATAAGGTTGAAGTTTAGAATAAACAAATTAGATGTTAACCGGTGGGTGGATGCTTAATAAAGATATTTTGTCATGATAGGTGTCAATTTCCGCGTCTTGATAAATTACAATTGTTTGGCATTGTCTTTACTGGGTCACGTGATGTAGTTTTTGAAGTGACGTCATTGCACCTTTCTTGTTTTAAAACTCCTTGCTTTATCAGAAATCTATTCTTAGCAGGAATACCTCTGTTCATTCGTAATCGACGCATTGATAACCTTGGTTGACTGGCGATACCCCTGCTGAATTCGTCGTTTACTTTAACCTACGTGTCACTTCTTGCCATTTTACAATGGAATTATAGATTAGCAATTAGCTTGGACAGAGACATTGACAAGCTTTTAATATTACAAATTAATCTACCGTATGAAACAGATTTTTAAAATATTTTAATTTTTGTGATAGAAACATCAGTTTTATTGTCTAGGATCTAAAAGCCCTAACATTTAATTTAATAAAAAAATAATAACCGCGCATTTCTTAAAGAAGAAGACAGCAAACATACACGCCTTAATGTTATCCAGAATTATCCATGGTGGACTGTGTCTTAATCATTGACAGTAATCTGCTATTATTTACATACTATAGTAAAATACCAATGTGTCAGTCTAATAAAATGAAAAAAAAAACTTGCAACGTACGAAACCCTGCAATATCAACTTATGTGTGAGTAGCCTGTCTCAGTTTAAAAATTGATCGTAATCTGAGCATACTTTCGTTCAGCGAAGAAGTTGAGAAACATTTACACCATATGCGGGTGAAAACCGAATATTACTGGACATAAATAAGGAAAGTTTACGGTAGAAAAGCTGAAGTTACTTTGTCATACAATATAGTTGGCCTTTGTCGTCTAAAGCATCTATCAGGCGCTTGGTTTCAGGATGGTGTATTTTGTGTATTATGTGGTTTTCTAGGTGTGTCTGAATACCCTCATCAAAATAAAAATTCGCTGAAATTAGCACGTTTTAAAAATGTCATATTTACTGTATATAAAAAGAGTACTCTTTTTATATACAGTAAATATGACATTTTTAGTGCTAATTTCAGCGTTTTAGTTCACCTGAGCCGAATGCTGAAGTGAGCTTTTCTGATCACATTTTGTCCGTCGTCCGTCCGTCCGTCTGTCTAGCTGTCCGTCCGTCTGTAAACTTTTCACATTTTCGACTTCTTCTCAAGAACCACTGGGCCAATTTTAACCAAACTTGGTACAAAGCATCCTTGGGTAAAGGGAGTTTAAATTGTTAAAATGAAGGGCCCAGTCCCCTCCCAAGGGGAGATAATCAAGAAAAGACAAAAATAGGGTGGATTCTTTTCAAGAACCACTGGGCCAGAAAAGCTGAAACTTATGTGGAAGCATCCTGGGATAGTGTAGATTCTAAATTGTTCAAATCATGACTCCCTGGGGTTGGGCGGGGCCACTATAGGAAATCAAAGTTTTACATAGAAATATATAGGAAAATTCTTTTAAAATCTTAAATCTTCTCAAGAACCACTGGGCCAGAAAAACTGAAACTTATGTGGAAGCATCCTGGGGTAGTGTAGATTCTAATTTGTTCAAATCATGACCCCCGGGGGGGGGGGGGGGGGGTAGGATAGGTCATAATTTGGAATCATATTAGGTTATTAGAAGGGGAAAATCTGGTAAAGAACAGCATGGTCAAAGCCACTCAGGTGAGCGATGTGACCCATGGGCCTCTTGTTTATTTTTATTTTAATGAGGGTATTCAGACACACCTAGAAAAACACATAATACACCATCCTGAAACCAAGCGCCTATGGTCAGTAAATTAAAACATCCAAATATGAAACAACTGGCAGACTCGGTATCACAGGGGCCAGTAACATGCTAAATTTGAATTTACGTATTGACTATATATATGCCAGTAACATGCTAAATTTGAATTTACGCTGACGTTGGTTCCCTTTCTTTTTTTGTATATATATAGTCAATACGTAAATTCAAATTTAGCATGTTACTGGCCCCTGTGGGTATAATCTTTTATTTCAAATTCAGATGGATATTGTTGTTACTTGATAAAACGTCGTCGATCGATTCATCTGAGTCGAGTTGTTTTCTTCTCATGGAAAAGTTTTTGAATAAAATATTCAATATATTCAAAGCAATACTAAACAGGTCGGCTAATAAGGGATTCTATCAATTTGTTGGATGACTAAGTCTTCGAAGACTGCATAATTGTTGTTGATGAGTGACGTAGAATGTGAGTGATTTTTGAATGACGAAGTTATGTTGTTGATGAACATATTCTTAGTCGTCAGATAGGATTCTTTGATCCACTCATATGCAAGTAGCGATCTATGTGAGCGGATCAAAGGATCTGATTTGAATCAGATTGATCAATAAGCATTTCATTACGGAATGAAAAGAGGGATAACTCTACTTTGCATACTTGCTCTTGCTCTGTGCAAGGGATTTTAAAATGTTATACGTTAATTGTCTACAGACCAATAAACTCCATTGTTCTGAATATTATGTCATCTGACAACCAAAAAAAAAAGAAAGAAAGAAATAACCAAAAAAGCCACACACACTGAACAAAACAAAACATAAGCGAGTTTATTGGTGTTTAGAGACGACTATACAGCGTTAGAAGGTGAATAAAATACGTCCAGGTTCGTTGAAGAATATCTCTAGAATTAGGGAGTGAAAGGTAGATGATTGACCAATGCTGGAGAGTGGGGACATACGGTTGCACCCGAAGGACAGGTCTTCAAGTCCCACAGTGGGAATCGAACTCACGATGTAATAATCAGCTGCGTAATCCCCAACTCTAGGAAACACTCTGTCAACTGTGCCTTGTGGCCGATGCCAAAACTATTGACTTTGACTTATTTTTGTAAAACGTTTACCTTAGCCATAACTAATGAACAGTTGGAGTTTGGGCTTCCATTTTTCACTTTACTGGGTACCAATATTCATAACCTTGACCTTTGGACTTCTTTTGAAAATCTTTAAACGTGGCCTAGCTTTCGAACGGTTATTACTAAAGCTTTCACATTTTACTTGTGTACTTCTTGTGACAAGACCTTTTTTGTATACCAATTTTTCTGACTTTGACCTACTTCTGTAAAACTTTTGTGTTTGCAAAATGTTTTGAATTCTAGCAGATAATGGTAGGGCTTTCCTATTACAACTGTGTTTCTTGTTACAAAACCATCTTTTTGCTTACCAGCAATTTTGACCTTGAGTTTGAAGTTTGAGCTTCTTTTGAAAAAAAAAGAAAGGTCTCATACAGGGGCATCAGTGCTCTACAAACATCTTATTCGTTATTACTTTAGTTGTATTGTTTAATTAAACACAACTTTACAACAGTTCATTTTATAAACTTTATTCAAATTAGATAAATTATGGTATTTTACCACTTCAAATTTATTAATCCATATGATCTTTGAAAATAATATTATTTTGTCCTAGGAGCTTTTTGTTTGAAACAGCAATTTTTCTCTTTATTTAAGAGACTTAATAAACTTTCAGGCAGAGTTTAAAAAATATTTCGACCAAGATGAATGTAACATTCATAACTAAAGCATTAAAAGTTCTTCAAATGTATTGCCGCTTTAATTTTGAGAGAATCGCATCTTTTTCAGATACTGGGTACGAATTGCGTGTCTTTGTCTGTTTTTTTTCTATTATTTATATTTTTATGCAAACAAAACGTAACCACAAACAAACGGGCTGTTGACGTTCCATCATCAGGAACCCCAAGTTTACAAGTTTTCCTCTTTCGTGAAAAACGGAGGATAGTTTACGTAATAGTGGAACTCTGGAAACTATGTTCTTGAATCTTGGTATTCAAAATACATAAGAATTACTATCAAAAACACAACTTTTAGGAATCTGAATAAAGCATATTTAAATTCAATTCCAGTTTGAAAACTATCTCCAAGAAGAGGCATTATAAAGGCATTTGATATTTTTATTATAAACTCAGCAAGCATTTAAAGTAGTCTATATAAGCTATACAAACTCCTTGTTTCACAATAAGAGACATTATCATAGTAATTGCTTTTTGGTAACTGTAGAGAAGTATTTAACATGTTCGACAAAACGGCCAAAGCACGCTATCAGAGCCTTAGATACACACGAATGGGATTTGAAAATAATTTATAAGAAAAACTTGATTTCATAATTCGCATATAAATTGATAGACTATCTCTTTAGCTTATGTCGGTCAATAATTGTATGCTTTTCTCTCTGTGAAATTTTCATGTTGTCAATGCGGGTGTATGTAAAGTTAATAACAGCGTTGACTTGTGGTTACGATACAGAGTCACGCACCATATGTTCTTAAAAACCCCTATAGCAGTGCGAACTTGAATTTTAAATCTTATCGTTTCAATTGACGATAAGTAATTCAAAAATAAGAATGGAACGTGTAAAGATTTCCTAATTCAATCCGATAGTTTACAGTCCATACAAAAGACGACTAAACAAGGGTACCCCGCTCCGATTTCACACAAGAGCCAACCGTCTTGGTTAATTTTTATAAGGTTGATTTTATGTAGCAGTAAGAAGCTATATTAAGAAGGAATCAAAAGAGGTCTGGAAGATAAGAATCTTGAGAATTCTGGGATGTTAACCTCTGGGTCACCGGTACCTATATTTAATTGTGTGACTGTCAACAGAATAGCATACCAATTATGTAGTTAGTGACAGAATATGAAAACAGCGGAGCAGCAAGGACACTGACTTATTTCTTCATTATGTAATTTTTTTTCTTTGACGACTCTTTGGAAAGGAAAATACGGAAGTATTCCAGAGGAATCTCTTGTGACATTTATTTTTTTCATGCATAAGTTATAAGGGAATCTGAGCAAGCACCTGTCAGTGATTTTATTGGAAACATTTTTCGCATGAACCATCATCTGCGGTTACGGACCGGGGAGAAATCAACCAAAGGTAACCATAAACAGATGTATAGCTAATTTTCCATTGAGTATAAACCCATATGTTTGTGTAACTCAGGAATTATTAATTATTCAAAGATATATGTTGTTGTTTATTTTCACTAATACGTTTCCAGGTATCGTATGGAAACTACATTTATTCCTCCATATCTACTTTGAATTCCGTAAGGTGCATTAAATGAAAAGTTAAATTTGTAAAAAAAAAAATATATATATATATATATATATATATATAAAAAACTTATAGTATAAATCCACACACGTAATGTTATAATAAAAAAATCACAACACCGAAATATATATATATTTCCAATATATATATGCTTAGTTACACAAAATCAACATTCATATTGTGACGTCATAAACAATACTTAGTCGCGCTTTAGCAAAGTTCATTATGACGTCATGATAATACGTACATAAGTTATTACGGGAAATTAGATTTTTTATACAAATAATACAGTTATATTATGCGGGTAAAAGTATATTTCTTAAATGAAATATAATTATGTTGCATTTAAAACAGGTTTATGTCTGTTTATAAAATGTTTTTCTTTAGTTTCACGTTCTTTTTCTGTAGTATCCCTTCGGAATTTGTAGAATGGAAAGACAGTAAAATTAGGGGTTTTATTTTTGGCACAGTTTCTGATGTGTTCGCTTACGGCGGTACACTGGTATTTTGGTTCCCTAATTTGTTGTCGGTGTACGGTCATTCTGTGTCTCAGGGTGTCTCCTGTCTGGCCGATATAATTTTCACCACAACCGGCGCAGGTTATTACATAAATAAGATTAGAACTGGTGCATGACATTGATGTTTTAATATAAATACGCTTCCAGTTTTAAATTGAAATTTGGATCCCTCTGTCAGGTATGGGCAAGTACTGCATCTTGGCTTGTTGCATCTATTGATGTTTGCTGGTTCATTGTTGTTAGTAGAAAAGGACGCTTTTGTAAGAATGGATTTGAGAGACGGACTTTGTCGTTTACTCTTAATGATCTGTGAAGTTTCTAATATTTTTTTCATGTCTGGATCGTCCTCTAAAATAGGCAGATTGTTCCTAATAATGTTGAAAATTTCCGGATTTCTTGGGTTATGTGTAGACACGTATGGTATAACATTATTTACTTGTTTATTTTTCACTGTAAGTAGATCTTTTCTTTCTTGAGATTTGGCTTTGTTTATTCCGTTTTCAATCAATTGTATAGGGTAGTGTCTTTGAAGGAGTAGTTCTTGTAGTTCTGTAAGGCGAGATTCCAAGATTTCTGCATCGGAAATTATTGTGCAAAGACGTCTGGCTAAATTGTATGGGATATTATTTCTGGTGTGTCTAGGGTGACAAGAGTCAAATATTAGGTATTGTTTGGTATCTGTTATTTTGTAGAAAACATCCGTTATTAGAAGAAAAACTGTATTTAACCGTGAAAGAAAAATTCGGGCAGGACTTTGAAAATTTTATAAGGAAGTCGTGGATACGCTACTTAGATGACTGTTTCGTCATATGGGACAAAAGTGAAGATCAACTAATGGAATTTTTTAATATTCTCAACAACCTGAGCCCCACTTTGAAATTCACCATGGAATCGGATAGTAATAAGTTATCCTTTCTCGATGTAATGGTTATTAAAAAAGAAAACCGTTTAATAACGGATGTTTTCTACAAAATAACAGATACCAAACAATACCTAATATTTGACTCTTGTCACCCTAGACACACCAGAAATAATATCCCATACAATTTAGCCAGACGTCTTTGCACAATAATTTCCGATGCAGAAATCTTGGAATCTCGCCTTACAGAACTACAAGAACTACTCCTTCAAAGACACTACCCTATACAATTGATTGAAAACGGAATAAACAAAGCCAAATCTCAAGAAAGAAAAGATCTACTTACAGTGAAAAATAAACAAGTAAATAATGTTATACCATACGTGTCTACACATAACCCAAGAAATCCGGAAATTTTCAACATTATTAGGAACAATCTGCCTATTTTAGAGGACGATCCAGACATGAAAAAAATATTAGAAACTTCACAGATCATTAAGAGTAAACGACAAAGTCCGTCTCTCAAATCCATTCTTACAAAAGCGTCCTTTTCTACTAACAACAATGAACCAGCAAACATCAATAGATGCAACAAGCCAAGATGCAGTACTTGCCCATACCTGACAGAGGGATCCAAATTTCAATTTAAAACTGGAAGCGTATTTACTATTAAAACATCAATGTCATGCACCAGTTCTAATCTTATTTATGTAATAACCTGCGCCGGTTGTGGTGAAAATTATATCGGCCAGACAGGAGACACCCTGAGACACAGAATGACCGTACACCGACAACAAATTAGGGAACCAAAATACCAGTGTACCGCCGTAAGCGAACACATCAGAAACTGTGCCAAAAATAAAACCCCTAATTTTACTGTCTTTCCATTCTACAAATTCCGAAGGGATACTACAGAAAAAGAACGTGAAACTAAAGAAAAACATTTTATAAACAGACATAAACCTGTTTTAAATGCAACATAATTATATTTCATTTAAGAAATATACTTTTACCCGCATAATATAACTGTATTATTTGTATAAAAAAATCTAATTTCCCGTAATAACTTATGTACGTATTATCATGACGTCATAATGAACTTTGCTAAAGCGCGACTAAGTATTGACGCTTTATGACGTCACAATATGAATGTTGATTTTGTGTAACTAAGCATTGTATTGTCAAACTCCTGAAGATTGGAAATGAAACCGGTTGAGTTTATTTCGGTGTTGTGATTTTTTTATATATATATATATATATATATATATATATATATATATATATATATATATATATATATATATACTGAATGGAAAACCCTTTTTTTAAATCTTTACCAGAGTGTGGTCGGAACATTGGGGGGAGGAGGGGGAGGTAGAGTCTGGGGGTGGGTGTGGTATAATCATATGCATATATCAAAATAACAATAGTGGATGAATTTCTTGAAATGGAAGGTATGAGGTTTTAATGATAGGACCTATATATCGAAGATCAAAATTCTTTATTGATACAGGAAGGACTTTCTTTTTCATCGTGTCCAAAAAAAGTACCCCCTGCAATTTATAAGTTCCTATATGGTCATGGTTTGTTTTATTTTAATTCGTAAATCTTAGTGCATATATTTAAAAGTACCATCATAAAATTTTTTTTGAAAAAAAAAATTGTCAAGGATCCAGAAAGGGTTAATTTCATGTGAGAGCCTGTTAGGGGTTAATCTGTTCATTGATAAGTATTTAAGAGTAGTCCAGGGTCCATGTAGCGACAGCTTTCAATCTCTGTTGTCTTTTCAACACGAACCCGATAATGATTTTCAATTGAAGACAAACCAGATATCACACGTTTTAATAACCATTTAAATTCCAGAGAAAATACGAGTGATTTAAAGAGACCAGAATAAAGTTCATACAATTGAAGAGTAGATTAAAACTATGTTAAAGTCAATCTGAGAGGGAATAAGATATATTTATGACTGTACTTTTTTGTCCTAAAGAAGAAATTAGATATTGTAACAAGGATAGGATTTACTTTCATTGATAACCGTTTTAAATGCTCATTGAATCGTATCTGAAAGTGTAATTGAAACGATACATGCGCGAAATTCGTCCAAATTTTAAATAATTAACAAATATCGATCATAAAAATTTAATCTTCAGTCTAAACTGTACTTTAAATTTAAATAGTGTAGAAATATACATACAATTTTATTTTGTATAAATACATCAATCAGAAAATGGAGACTGATTAATTGCCATTTTATAGATGTAATTTACAAAAATCAGATTTAGGGTAAGAGAAGATATACTTAAATTTGAAACGTTCCTTCATCTGAAAAAAAACATATATATGCCATTATAAAGATTTTTCAAAGAGTTTCATTTTTCGTAATTTTTTCAGTTTTTGAGATTGTTCAATCCATTTGTGTTTGCTCAAATCTAATGAGACTCTTTTTCTCAATTTAAGTCTAAAACAGTCGAATCATTTTTGTACTTTCAAATTCAAACTTAATAATAAACTAGAGGTACTGTGAGCGATGAGCTCACTAAATGATACCCCCCGCCTCCCATATGGATATAACTGGTGAAAAAGTCCATGTTTTCCTGTGGCCGGGAAACCCAATATATGTGTCGGATCAAAAAGTATAATAGGAGGTGCACAATGGCAATATGTAATAAAGATTCTGTGAAAGTTTCATCAAATTTCATTCAGTGGTATGAGAGGAGTTGCGGATAAGAGATGGGTACCCCAAAGCGTAACAGACGGACGGACAGACGGACGTACAGACGGACGGACGGACGGACGGAATTAACGATTACTATATACCCTCCCGCTTTTCAAGCGGGGGGTATAAAAACCCACACCTTTTGATGACTCGTTTACATTACAATTCCCATGGACTGATGCTTCACGTGTCTGCGTGACTTTTCCAACTTTGTTGTTACAAAGATCAGATAAATAGAAGTCATCAAAGAGCTAAAGATTGTAGAAATACATTTAAAAAATCAACAATTCTTACTTCCGGGTATAAGACTGTCAAAAAAGATTGGCACAAAAAGTAGATACTTGTACATAAACCTTCATTATACGAAAGGAAAAGGGTCGCCCGCGTGGTGCATTGGTTGGAGCGTCTGCTCTAGAGTCGCGATGTAAGAAGTTGATACTTACGTCGCGGGTTCGAATCCCATTGTTGGAAGCGGAGACCGGTCCTTCGTATAAATCAAGGTCCCGTGTCGCAGTAGGCGCTGGCACGAACAAGATCCCTCACTGCTCAATGGCCCCGAGTGCGGAGGACAAAATTTGCAGTTCTTCACCGGAAAGTGGTGGCGTCTCCATATGAGTGAAAAATTCTCAAGAGGGACGTTAAACAATATACAAACAAACGACGGGAAAAGGCGTGGGGCAATGGTCAGAGCCTTTGCTAGAAAGAGTGGCAAATGCGGGACTCGGACACCAGTCCTTTTGGATGAGACCGCGCTAAGATAACAAGATCTTCATTGCTCCGAGTCCGTAAGTTCGTAGTTCATGTTGAAATCTGTAGCCCTCCATCAGCAAGTGGTGATGTCTCAGTATGAGTGTTAAATTCTTAAGGGGCGTTTAACAAAATAAAAAAACGAAGGACGGGAAAAGTGTATTTTTCCCTAATTACTAGTACCACTAAACCGTAGAATACGTGTATTACCGGGTATAATATCTAGAATGTAAAAGGTACAGAAGATCCAGCATCTTTCATGTTAGCATTTGTAATTATTTCCTTTGGAAAAAGTCTTCAAGTAAATGTAATTTTATTCACTTCATCTTCAAGAATCCAAATATTCTGACTTGAAAATATGCTTTTACTTGAAAAATAAAAATAAAACACTTACCATAAAGATCCATTTTGTCCATTTTCTCCATACAAGAAAACCTAATGTTGTCATGATACAGTAAACAAGCTAAGATATATCCTAATGAAATTAATTATTTAGGTAAACTGGTACTCTGCCCCGAGATCGATCGGGTGGCGCCTGGACCATAAGGTCCTGCTGCGCAATCAATAACAAGTTTACACTAGAACCGTAGTCACAGCAAAACGACAGGCGTCAAATTGCGCAAAAAATCTATTGCATGAATATTCTATCAATCGTCAACAAATACAACAAAGGGTATGAAAAAAAATCTGATTCCTTTGTTTATTTTTCTTTGATAACAAGATTGTTAACACGAAATATATGTTGGTTTTCTTATTTAAACAATAAAATGCTTTCTTTGTTTGTTATTACTGGAATGAACGGAAGCAGCTGTTGCAGAAAAAATACATAACCCGCTTACGCGGGTTATGTAATTTTTTTCTGCAATAGCTGCGACCGTTCATTCCAGTAATAACAAACAAAGAAAGACATTTTATTGTTTATATTTATATCTGTTTAAATAATCAATTAAAGTAGGCTTAAAAAGATTAATTATTGTATTAATGATGCGAACGTCTTTATACGTTTCATTGATGGAACAGCCACTGATTAAGAAATCTGTACAGGCGACATGCCTACTGTAGTTTATGCAGTGATGAACGCAATGGGGTTTCTTAAGAAATAAAGGAGAAAATATTCAGTGGATGTAAATATATATTTATGATCATAGAGTCTTTGAACATTTATTACTTACCTAAGAGGTGTATGATCATACAGAATTTTAAAAACAGCAAGTACAAGGGTTGTCAGTGTGTATATTTTAATCAGTTTTCTATTTCTACATTTTGGGGGGGGTCCCTAGTAGAATATGTGTATTTTTGGTTATTGTTTGGCAGAAATTGGTTTTTGTTGATAAACTTCCAAACCTACTCTATAGAAAACAAAAGCATAATAATTGCGACCATTAAGCGCATTGTTACTTTCGTGGCAAAGTTTAATCAATTAATTAAACCATTTATATAAATAACTAGCTTACCAACATTCGACCTCGCTTACTTGTTTAATCCCAATACACATACTTTTAAACTCAGTGTTTTTCTAACTTTTGATGAAATTAGAAAAGTGACCCTTTTCAATCTTTCTGTAAGTATTTATGGCTGAATTCCTTTCTATCATTGCTGCTAATCAGTGATGTATACGTTGTATTCATTTCCCGATTCTATTCGAGGCCTGAATTATTCTTAACCACGCAGAAATATACTAGAAATATCAGGAAGGAAGACTCCGAAAGTGTACATAAATGTCTACACATAACCATAAATAAATATTAATAATAATGATTTAACATGTGTTTGTTGCCAATGAAATAACATCTTTTGAACAGTATAATTACTTTTTCCTTAGAGCCGTTTTCAGTTATTGGATTATTGGTTTACGTCTGTACATTTCCTTAGATTTAGAAAGCCCAGTCAAAAAATATTAAACAAATCATTATAAAACAAGATTGACATTGGTGTTAGGTATTGATTGGTGCCCGGAATGTTTCGAATGTTCAATTCTTTACGTAATTATCATGATCTGTGCTCTATTCAAAAGGACTTTAGCTTCTGACTTTTAATACTCGGGATTTGGAAAAACCTATAATCATACATTATCATACGTATTTTTTATTTATTCAGGAATTTTACAATGGGAGGGACCTAATATTCAACCCGACTTTGGAATTTAAAGGATCATCGACATAACAAAACTTGCGCAGTGGATTACCAGGCGTTAATCTCGGATTTCTAAAGGATCAGAGTCACTATTTCATGTTTGCCTGGAAGCTTGGACTATTTGATTCTGTGGCAAGTTTACCAACAACATTGCCAGAGATCTGGATAAATGTTTACACGAGACTCAAATCTCTAAATTCATACAAACCTAAATCCCTGGAATTGATCCCACGTACATAATTCTAATGTTAGAGCTACGAAGTGGTAGTCGGATGTTAGTAATGGACACTTTAGTTCTAGTGAAAATGTGAATTATCCATCGATTGTTCATTTCCGTTTGATTTTTTTCCGACTTTAAAAACGGCCGAAGAATGGGGCCGCTAATTGGTTCGTACCGTGATGATGACAAAGACACTGTAAGTTTACCCAGAACTCCACATTCTAGGCGAACCAAAACAACAGATGACGGATTTATGGCGTTCGACTCGTCCTCCGAATTCAGCTTCGATGACGCTCTGACAGACGAGGGGCGTTTATCTCGATCTTTACAATCATGGATGCCCGATTACACCATTGTACCCATCGAGCCGATGGTGAAACCCCCCAAACAACCCGTGTACTCTGGTCGACTTGGAAAGAAACTGTCTTTGAAGCGAATTCCGAGTGATGAGTCCATAACAACTAAATTGTCCCTGCTTTCATGTTCAACAAGAGCTGCATCACCCGAAGAACGTTCGAGCACTGCCACAAAACGACGACGTAAAAGGAAAAACTTAAGCTCTAGGGCTCCGTCTGCTACAGAAAAGGTGGTGTCAAAATGGGAAGAATTCGCGAGACAACGTGCTAAAGGTGCTCTGGATAAATTTTCGAAAACTCACAATGCGATGAGAATGGACGTTGTTCAACGATTTGAAGATGACGAAAGTGAAGCATTTCGTCTGATGGATAAAGACGAAAAGAAAATGTTGATTTCAGTAGGTATAACAAGAAGTCGACTGTTTGCAGGACAACTTAAAAAGACTCCCAGTTTAAGTGATGTGAGGGATTCCTTTACTCCTTCACCGCCTAGACAAGTTCGAAGATCTTTATCGGCTGGTGCTAAACCTCGAAGTCGTGGCATTAATTTGGAGGAAATAAGACAACAAAGAATGCGAGAAAAGATAGCCCTGATGCAGCAGAGACAACGATCTCGCGGTGGGAGACGCTCTTTTCTCTCTCACCGTCAGCTTACTCGAACAACACTCACATCCAGTCAGGGGTCGGTGGCACCCGCCACGCCCTCTCCTCGATCCGCCTCTCCTGTCAATCAGGAAGAGAAAGTGTCCGTATGGAAGGGAGACACACAAATCTTGGAGATGGATTTAAGGCGTGGTTTGACAAAACGTGTTCAGAAAAAGATCATGTCAACCACTATGGCAATTAATCTAGTGACGGGTTACGGAGAATCAAACGAACGGCAGACAATGATTGGTAGACACGAGGAATTCCCTGCATATGTGGAGGAGGATTATTGTAATGTACCAAAAATAGTACAACGGATTCGCATTACGCCCGATCTTAGCCTCGTAATCAAGGACGATATACGTGTTCGAATGGGTAGACCGCGTTATCATGAAATAAAGATAAAGGATTTAGAAATGTGGAATAGAGGACAAGTATTGAACCGATCACATAGAAACCTTAAAGTGTTCAACTGGCTTCACAGTCTAAAGGAAAATGATTTTGATAAAGACATAGAACCGTACATTGATGACAGTGTTCCTGCTTCTCCCGATGACGTAGATGTTTTACACGTGGAAGCGGCGGACGAGCCCGACATTAAACCTCTATATATGAAAAAATTCAATATGAAAGGCTCTAAAAAGAAAAGTTTGAAAAAAATATGATTAACATGATTTTATACATTTAAATTATTATTTTTCATCTGTGTTCAGCTTATTACATTTTTATACATCGAGTTTTATTTGTTATTTTTTAATGTTTTCTCTTGTACGATCAATCGCCCTTTAAAAGCAGAATTGATACGTCAAACAATTAGAATTTTAGTAATGTTACGCAGTTGATTAAAACATTCTGATTTCGAATTAGTTCAATAAAAACTAATTGAAAAACAATACTATTTAAAAAACGACCATATTTATACGGCTTAAATTCCAATTTTAAATCTCAGTGTGTATTTAGTGAGTATTATAATACATGTATGCAGGATCAATGATCTGGATTCATGACAAAAGACTTGGAAAAGTTTGAAATTTCATAACTTAGATTTAAATTATTGATTTTTTATAAAGTCGTAATGAGAGGTATATGGCAAACACCGAAAAGGACATCTGTATTATACCGGTATGATAACGCACTAAGAGGACGAATTACTAGGAGGGTGGGGGTAAACTGCAAGGAGCTTTAGTATTCTTATTGCTTACATTCAAATTTATCATAAAAAATATATAAAGAACACAGTGTTAAACTTTGTGCAAAAAATATATAATTAAATTTTTTTACTACATGTTAGTGTAAAAAAAAAAACATGCAATCCATGCATGTATTGGTTGATGAAATTTTAAAGATTGAATGTATGATTGTAATTAATTCCATACATTATATCAATTGATCTTATTATATTTCAACGTTGTTCCTCCTATAGTATCTTCTCTTGAGACGAAGATGAGGATATACTCTATTAAATTTCAGAAACCGTCGGAATAGCTTTATAGCTGTTTCTACATTAAAAATCAAGGAACAGTAAAAAATTACATTTACTATAGACGATGGGAATTAATAGCCCCATATTCTCAGTATGAATGAGTTGATTTTAGGAACACTTCCCTACTTATCCCAATATTGAACGAATGGCTTAAGATTGACCAAGAGTGTTTTTGGTAAATTTGTACAAGAATCACGATAAGTTATTCAGAATTTTTAAGTGTTTTCTTTGAACCAAGGTACCATGCGTTTAATATTATCAAAACAAAGTAAGATAGTATACTTAAAGCATTTCTCTCAAATAAACAAATGATAACATCAAATATAGAATTGTAGCTGCTATTTCACAATGATTCGGGACATCCTCAAGACGTGCAATGCAAGATATTGTAATATTCTCTTCTATATTGAGAACTTGATGGTTCGTTAATCCTCCCTGTTGGATGGTGATAATATGAGCCATCAGCTTCTCTATGGAGAATTATAAATTGTAAGTTTTTTTGTAACAATTAACGCAAACATGCATCTCCGTGAACCCATGTAACACTTTTTTGTTGTATACATGTAATTCTTCAAATAGGGAAAGTTGCAGCATAATATGAAAATCACATAAATACACTCTAGGGTGTATAAAATAGCTAAAATTCGACCTTTGCTTCAAGGACATGGTAAAATTTCAAATAAGAATACATGCCGAGACGTGAAGAAATTATGTGTGCATCCCGAACACATATACTAGTAACCAACACAATGTCGAATCTACCTGTATTATATTTGTTTTAATTTCTAAAGAATATGCTAATGAAAAACACTATTTCTTTTGTAACTTTAAAGTTCTTAAAATCTGCATAATATGTGCTTTAAAGGCTGAAAAATAAATATTAAACATCCTACCAGGATAAATGTGTTAAAACATTTTACCAAAAAAAAAAGCATTTTAACATACAAAATTTTGACTAGTTCATTTTGAGCGATATAAAAGACCAAGAATCAGGCAAATGTATGAATTTTTATTCTAAAATCAAAATAAAGCTGAAATATATGTACTTGCGAGTTTTACAGGTTTATCATTCGAGAAATTCTTACATTTTAGATTTTGTCGTGCATCAAGGTTGGCTTTCTTTAATGTTAGATATGGCACGCCAAATTCACAAAAATGAGATAAACATAGTTTCACAGTCGATAAACTAAGTTTATCGGTTGTAAACTATAGTTTACGGACTGTAAACTATAGTTAATAACGTTAATCTATATTTTACATCCGTAAACCGTAGTTAACGCGATAATCTATGTTTCACAACCGTAAACTATACTTAACACTGAAAACAGTCATTTGCGATTGCAAAACATAGATTATCTGATAAATACAACACATTTGTAAACTATAGTTTACAAACCGTTAACTATAGTTAACGATCTGATAAATATAGTTTCACGATTTAACTATGATTAACAACTCTTAACTATAGTTTACGATTGTAAACTATAGTTTACAAACGTGAATCTATGTTTATCAACCAAATCTATTGTTAACTCTTATTACAGACAGATAAACTTAGATTATCATTCGTAAAATATAGTTAACAACCGTTAAATATAGTTTTACAGATTAAAACTATACTTAACGAATCGTTAAAGTAATATACGCTATAACGTGCGCCATTTTAAAATACGGCTGGAAATTTATATATTTTGTTTACCAATAAAAGTTACGAAAATGCTGTAAATTACACCATTTAAATAAAATTCGTTATAAAGTTATCAAATTATAATTATTTATTATCCTGCAAGGAGAATAATGTCTATTTTTAAGTAAATCCACCACGTGACGCCGTCGCTACTTTTAGATTGATAAACAAACACGGCGTCAAGAAAACGAGGTAAGCCCTTTGAGATACAACTCACTTTTGACATGGATGGCGTGTTACTATTAATATAACTTATCTTTAAATGTAATCAGTATCAACCATCTATACTCTGTTATGACGCATATTACCTTTTATTAATAATCGTTGTCAAAATGCAACGTGCCTCGTTGTCTATAATTTCCCGTGGACATACGTGTCTATATTTAGACCTACTGTTTACGCACTTCCTTTATCAATATTCATGAAAAGACGGAATTCTTGATTGCAGTTATTGCTTTATTGTTCTGTTATTACAACGAGTTTTATAGTTAAATTTTGTGGAAATATTATTTTTTCATTACACTTTATGTGTTTCAAATCATTTAATCATTTTGTTTCACATACAAATCGGCATCCATACGGCGTATATTACTTTAACTATACTTAACAAATCGTTAACTATAGTTTACGGTTTGTAAACTATAGTTTACAGTCGATAAACCTAGTTTATCGAATGTGAAACTAGGTTTATTTCATTTTTGTGAATTTGGCGTGCCATAGTTAGAACTTTATCATCATTATCACCATGTATCGTTTCAAAGGATAGTACTAATGAATGATAATTCAGAAGAGGGGAGGAACTTTAATTTGTGCAAATCTTCGTTAGAAAGAACTTAAACTTCAGAGAATGGAACACATTTGCTAACACGTAGGAATTAATTTATTTATTACATGCAATATGTTTCATGTAATGACAATACATAATACAGTGATTATTCGGAAAATTTATTCTCCTTTTCAAAGCACTTATAGTGGGAAGGTATAAAGTACGTAACTATAAGTAGACTTACTTACTTATGTTGACAAAAGAAACGAAAGGTGAAGGATTGGTCAGATTTTTTTTTCTGAATCTCCAAATCCACGTCAAAGTGCCACAAAGTCATTACAGCGTAGTCTGTACTAATCTACCATTCAGAATTATGAATGAATGTTTTTAAATACACAGCATACTCATTAAGACCATAGTAATGTGCTCCGAGAATCATTTCAAAATGCCTAATAAATTTAAAACCATTACAAAATATTGTACAAATTAAGAAAATAAATAAGCAGTGATGGTGTTGGCAAAAGAAAGAAAATCCTTTATTTCATTTATATATTCATATTCAATAAAATAGTACAATATTAAGTACATGTATATATATGAAAAGCGCATACATATTTTTTTTCCAAGGACAGATGCAACACACTTTTGAAATCTATGTCGTTCTATGCTAGCAAATTACACTTTTTTCGAACGTTTATAGAGATTGGCTATGCAAGCTAATAATAAAATATCAATTTTTTTTTTAAAAAAATATGAAATCATGGAAATCTACGGAAGCCCATTTAGAACCTATCGAAAATATTTTTGAATCCGAAATAGCGAATTGTGAAATTTGTTAAAACGAATTTAGTTCGTTATAACATTTTTTGGCCATTTGTATTCTTACCTATGCCGTGAGGTGTGGCGGCTTCTGATTAATATTGGACCCACGAGTTATTCCTCCTTACTTATAATGATAAAACAAAATAGAGAGGAAAAGAGGGTAGGTTCACCAACTCTTTATTACATATATCCATTGTGCACCTTCTATTTTACTTTTTGATCCGACACATATTTTGGGTTTCTCAAAGTAAAACATGGACACTGCCATTATATTCATATGGGAGGCGGGGAGTAACATTTAGTGAGCTCATTCCTCACAGTACCTCTAGTTTTAATTCATATTTTATGCAGCCAACATTTACTTTAGGAATTGATAAAGTTTAAAAGGGTATTGTTTTTGTTCGATTCTCACCAGACTATAAGTTTTCACATTTAGGATGCTTGCCTAGAATAACTGAATATAATCTAAAGAGTTTCAGTCAGGACTCATTTACTTTTAATTAAATCTAATCACACATAAGGTATAAAATTTCTAAGCATGCAGGCTTTGTCTGGATTGAATGATTATTTGTTTAAAAAGCCTTGATTTTTTGTAAATTAGCAAGGATTTTCTTTTTTAAAATCGATATAATTTTCCGACAAGGTGGCTTGTCTGATGTTATGTGGAATTGTCTGATAATGATGCTGACTTGTAAAATATCAAGTTGAATTTTCAAAAAATTATGCTGACTTTTCAAATAATTTATTGACTTTTAAATTCTTTTTGTCGACTTGTCAGATGCTTATGTTGACTTGTCAATAAATTATGTTGTTCACTGATGGAATTATAAACTGAGCATGGACACATTTTCATATTGAATTTTTAAACACATGAATAAGTGAAAAATTAACCAAAAAATCTGACAATGCAACATAATTTTCTCAAAAGTAGTGGACAGAAGTATGCCACCATAGTTACTGAACCAAAAACAAGACTCAGATAATAAAAATTATATCATTAGAACCATTTCACGCTTAGCTTTCAAGAAATTAATAACATCATGAACTTTAAATTGTTGTTGACAATGATGAGTCTACTTAAGCTCCACCTTTGTCCAGGATGAGACAATGTAATTGGTTATTCGATACACTAATTGGCATTTGCCTGAATTTCTATCCCATGTATATTTCAACAGTAAAGGAAAGCTGATTACGTAACGTCGAGAATGCCAAGCCTTACTGAAAGTCCAAACTAAGCATGAAATGGTTCTATGTATTTAGTATGCCATAATTCATAGATCTGGAAAGAATGGTATTGTTTCAGGTGTGTTTATGAACTTCCCCACCCTTCCCAAAAACAAAACTCATCAAGACTAAATAATCTTGTACTCAAAGCTGATGAGAAGTAACAAATAGGATAAGTTATCATAACACTGTTGTTATAAAATATAAATTAAAATCAATATAAAAAATGTACGAATAAATCTAAATAAAAACATGAAAAGTATATGAAAATCCATTGTTCAACTGAATAATATCACTTGTTGCAAAACAAATCAATACTTGAATTGTATTTGTGTTAAGTAAAAATGCACAACACTTATACATGTATATTGAAATCAAATGACTGTATATCAAATATTAAACAATTCAATAAAGAACTCAGAAATCTGGAGTTTGCTTGTAATAAAATGACTGTAAAATACATTACAAGTTCAAGAATTTAGATGTTTGGTGTGTGATACTGGTAACAAGGATGTAACTGATACAGGGTATCAATAAATATTTCAGAAAAATGGTATTTGTTTTCAACAAAATAAATTAATGTTACACATATCAAATTAAATAGACCAGAATCTGTATTTGTTTATAATGACATGAACAGACCATATCATGAAAATAAATTTTAAAATAAATCAAATATCAGGTAAAAAAAAAAACAACTTAATAAATACAATTAATTTTGTTAAGGACAGATGATACAAAAAAAAAAATCATGAAAATAGCAACCTAAGTTACATTCATACATGTAAAGTGAATAAGTTTAACCTTTTAATTTTTCATGTCAAGTTTCACAATAATGGGATTTTAAGTGACAAAAATTGTATATAATTACAGAGATGGTCACAGAAAATTTGAATTTTGAACATGATAGAGAGTTTACAAATTCTTAATACCTCAGAAATCTATTTGTCAGTGTCATATCATTTACAACCAAAATAGTTAAAAAAATATTATATACCAATCCAGGCATCCACACTTTTGTTTGTATCATCTGTCCTTACATCTGACAATCCCTAGAGTTTATATTTGTAGCTGTCCTTTAATGTTCTGATTTCTCGGAGTATTTTGGCTCTGGTTTCATCTGATACTGGCTGTTCAAACTCTGTGACCTTCACCGCCTCTAGAATACCTGGTTCAGCTGTCCTTAGGAACGGATTATAGGACCTCTCCTCTTCTATGGTTGACGGGCACTACATGAAGATGAACACACAATACATAAATCATTTATACATTTACTAGGAATTTTTAATGAGCTTGAGGTGCTAATATTTCGGATCATTTTTGGGAGTTTTGAAGTAGAATGCTTTTGTACCCTTGCTTATATGTACCAATAAAAAAAATAACATATATTTAACTTTGCTTTGTTGTTAAAGGTTATAATAATTTTTATCTGGTATTGGTATTTACTTAAACTCATGGTTAGGTCAGATAATGAGACAAAAAAAGGTAATCCAAGATTGTCTACTTAGGAGTTTTACCTAACTTTAGCCACATCAAATCAAATCATGGTTACACAATGTAGGGTGGGATAGAAATGGATCAAAGTTTTAAATGAGAATACATAGAAGAAACAAGAGATGTTTGTAAAACACTTATGCCCCACCCATCCCCCTCCATTGGAATTTTTCAAAGTCCAAAAGGGCATGACAGACTGTCAAAAATGGAGCGACCATACCAAAAACAGAACTTGACCTAGATATTCATCTGATATATATCTCAATCTGTATACCAAATTTCATTTCAGTATGTGCAACTGTTGTGGAGAAAATGAACGGAAACTAAGTGGAACGGCAGACAGACCGACCGACAGACAGCAGCAAAGCAATATGCTCTCCCTTCTTCGAAGGGGGGCAAAACAATTCAAAAATGTTTTTCTCATGAAAGCTAAATTTTAGGGACATGAATTTCACAATTCTAATAGAATCCCAGGTGGATTTCAATATTAATTGTAATAATTACTTACTGTACATAGATTCTTTTCTCTTTGGCTCTTTACCCACTCGTACTTCTTCTGTGGAACATAGGGAAATTACATGTATTAATAATAAAAATGTACAATACAAGATATATGTAACACAAGTTGAATTTTAAACGGGAGTTAAAGCAGTCAACATAATGTCTAAAAGATCTTGACTCTGTCCATATTTGCATGGCTATCTAGTAACAATGAATTAAAAAGGAAAATTATACAAACAGAGGATGCATAGAAAAGAATGTATGCCACCCATTTGTAAGATGTTACATTTTCAGAATCTTCAATTGAAACTAAAAGCTTACAGGGAAACAGGATTTGGGGGGGGGGGGGGGATATTTACCTTTGATTCTTCATTGGAATTTTCTAAATGACATGCAAAATCCAAATTATCATTTGCATATTCATGACCTTAAAAAAAAAACAGAATAAAAAATCACAAATATTATCTTGGGATACATACTTTTGATATTTTTCTTTTACATTTACCTACATTGTACTTTATATCAATTAGAATATACACTGCTTTCTTTAATCATCATAAAATATTATAGGTCTTATCAATGATATTAATGTTTTTCTTTTTGCTTCGATTTAACGTCAGCTGTTGGCAGTACCTGGCCAGACGAGAACGTCCCCCTTTAAATTGGACACCTTGTCTAAGGACCCAAGCATCACTGAGGGTGCTGCCTCAAACATCCTCCCTTAAAGAGTAAAGGATCACATCCATTATGATTATAATTACTCTAATTGGACTTTAATTTTATTTAAACACATTTATTGATCTGGTTGTATTATAATAAATATTTATCCCATGTTTACCCCTTTATCCTGTGGATATGACTCATTGGATATTTTTTTTTAAAATCCCACAATTAAGTGCAGTGGTAATGTCACAATGGTTATTGCATTAGCGTGATGAAGTAAAATAAAGTTCTTTATAAAAACAGCGTAAAACATTGGTTGTGAAGAATTAAACATGGGATAAAAGGAATCTACCATGATTTGTCAGATATAACTTTTATTATCCAAATTGTTGTGTGTTTTTATCCCCTCACCATGGCTCAGGGATAAACAACACACAACTCATTGGATAAAAATCATATCCGACTATAAATCATGGGAGATCCTATTTATATATTACATGTATTTAAAAAAAATCCTCAATCTTGTCAGCTCAAGGAAAAATTGCCATTTCGAAAAAAATGTTTGTGAAAAGAGTGCTTGACAATGAAATTATTGATGTCACATTAAGTATCTTACCACAGCCCCCTAGAAAAAGAAGATCCCCCGAGAACAGAGAATCTGACATCCCAAATGGTGCCCCATCTAGGAGGTAAACAACATGTCCCTCCGTATGTCCAGGGGTAAAGTGTACCGTAAAACGCATGTCACCAAACGGTAATACATCCAGATCTCTCACAGTGCTAAAAATAACCACAGGGCATGAAAGATTACAAAGCTTAAATCATCTTATTTTCATTGGACAATAAAAAAAACATTAGCAGAAATATTCATGTATATATATTTATGCAAATATAAGTACATGACACGATACCTTGGCAGAAATGATGTGCTTTCTTGTTAATTCATCATATATAAATAATGTATACTTTTATTTAAGGGTAAATATTTTTAAAGATATCCAGTGGAGAGTAAACAATCTGACGTGACCTATGTAATAACACTGTGAATGACTTACTCTGTAACATTGTTCACATTGTCGTGGACTCCTCCATATATCCGGAGGTTTGGGTAGGCCTGCTTCATCTCACTGTTCCCTCCGCTATGATCCCTTCAGAACAGAAGAAAATAAAAGAATGTTTAATATTAACTTTAAAATCATATATTATTTTAATCATATATTCCAAGCTCTCTGATTGGCTTAAACTTGGTCACATGATTTAGTATATAACAGCATATAGACTTGAGTTACTATTTATAGAATCTGAAATGCATATCGACTTGATGTTTCTTAAAATAGAGGTAATTTTCTGTAAAACAAAAAATTAATAGGAAAGATTTCACAATTATAGCTAATACAGTATATGACTTGATGTTTCTGAAAAAATATATATATACTTCAACTTGTATTTAAATTTGTAATGTTCTGTAACTCATAAGACGTAACAATGGCCTGAATTAGGATCTACTTAATATTAGAACATATTGAATATCTTTGTTAAAATTGATACAAAACATAATCAAAAAGATGTACATTTGTATATTTTCAATTAGTAAATCCTCTAAATTATGTAAAAATATAAAAATGTCAAGGAAAGTTTAACTCAGTTATATTAAACAACTATTTATTTTGATTTCTAGTCTCTAAGTGTTTAAGAGAGAGAACTTGTGGCTTGTTCCCATTTTTTTCAAATTGTTTTTTTTATCAACCTCTGTAAAAAATAAAATAACAAATGTAGTCCTTTAATTCGGTCAATCCATAGATATATCGACTTCACAGAAAAGCATATCGACCTCGCACTTCCTGCTCGGTCGATATGCTTTTCTGTGAAGTCGATATATCTATGGATCAACCTCATCAAAGGGCTATATTTATATAATATTGTAACATCATAAGATGGGGCTAATCTTTTCTATTTATTGATTATTTATAGATTTTAATATAATTTAAATTCTTAAATTCCTGGTGTAAAAAAAATTACTCATGAATTCAATGAAGATTTATTTTTATTCCTAGTTTTATCTAACAAATAAAAACAGGACCCTCTCCTTGAATTTTGATTGTCAATACATGTACTTATATTTTTTATATCAAGTTATGCATTCTTTACAGCATTAGTTTGTCCTGTTTGAATTTCTTTTAACTGAAATTATCATAATACTGAACAGACTTTTTTTTTAGATATCCCACTGCACAAGATATGTACTGCTGATATACTCACCAGTGTTTGTGGGTGACCAGTACTGCTTCAGGGGATATCCCATTGTCTTTTAAGTATTTCTGTACACAATGAAAAATGAGAACTTTTAAAAGTACTAAAAAAGTAATGTGTATTGGTAAAACATTCTAAGGTACAACTTTAGGTATTCTGAAAAAAAATTAACATTTTTGTCTTGCATGCTACGAAGAACATCATTAATTTAATAACTGACATAGTAAGTTTTCATATACATAATTTTTTTAGTAATAACTGGTGTAGTTGGTTTTGATGTACATGATTTTTTAAGTACCATAATAACTGGCATAGTTAGTTTTGACAAACACGATCTTTATAAGCTTACAATAACTGGCTCTGGGTCCCCTGGGTCCACAATAACAGCTGACTTGGAGTCCCTTAGGATGTAGGAATAGTTGTCCAGTAATATAGGGAATGGCGTTATTGTCAAATCTTAAAATGAACATTAAAACTATTTGAATTTTTAAGATATACTAAATGTTCTACTGAAACATTTTATATGCACAACAATTACCCTTTTACTCTTCCCTAAAATTATAAATACCCATCATTCTTTTTCACACTTGTAGAAGATGGTCATTTGTATTGTTGTAAACATAAAGGAAATCTTCAAATATACTATAAGGTAATAAGCAAAATATTATCATTAAAAATTAAATACATAAAACAAAAGTATATTAAAGGACATTAAACTTGATCAAGACTAAAAAACTTCACATGGTAATTCTACAAGTATTATCAGTCTGTATGTAGTATGGTTGATTATAGTATACAATGCTCTCAAAGGATTAATGTTAGATTGTGAAAAGTAACCAACCTCCATACTCAAATGGTTGAATGGTAGTGTGTGTCTTCCCATCTGGATATTTTTCACGAGCCTTAGCTATGTCCCTTCTGTGGTATATCTGTCCAATTCGAGTTCTTGTGTAAAAAAAGTACCTGTCAATTTAAACATACAGAAATATTAATCAGCTTTTTGCATTTGGGCTATGAAAAAGATTTGTTTTTGAAACCTTGATGCTACTGTGTGGCAGCTCATGACAAAGGTGAGAGGTTTTTCAACTTGAATACCAAAAGGTTAAAATTGTTGTTAGTACTGTACAGGTACTAAATGAAAATGTTTTGTCACAAAGAATAAAGTTCTGAAATATGAGTGCCCTTGAACCAAACATTCAGAAATTATGGTCAAGTTGAAGTGTTTCAAAAAGTAGATGACACTGTAGGTCAAAATTAAAAATCATAGAAATCATAGAAAATTGATCTTGTCAAAAGAAAACACAAGAAGCATCAAATTCCTAGCACTTAACACTGAAAAGGCATGACCAGGGTTAAAGTATTAATTCAAATACAAGTCATACTCCAAGTTTGAGGTCATAAAGTCAAAATTGCTGGTACCCAAGAGAAGGTCTCGTTTTAAGCAATACGCATATGAAATATGACATCATTGCTTCAACACTTACATACTTTTGGCTTTTAAAGTTAATTTTTTTCAAAAGTACATGTAACTTAAAGGTCAAGTTGAAAAAGTAAAAATTCTTGATACAAAAAAGAGAGTCTTCATTGTCACAACGAATACTCATGCAGGTAAAATATGTAAACCCAGAGCTCAAACCATTCATTGATTCAAAACCCATGAGTTCTAATCTAGGTTAGGCCATTCCAATTTCAAAGGAGAAATCTACACGCATGTACTTTATTCATATAATTTTTCAAAAGAAGGTCAAACCCTACGGTTAAAGTTAAAAGGTTAAACTGCTGGTACCCATGGGAGCCTTATCACAAGAAACACACATCTGAAGTAGAGCTGATTTAATAAAAGCAATGGCATAAATAAGTTTTTGTGGTTAAAGAGACAGACAGACAAATGGATGGACAGAGCAAATTTATATCCCCCAAATGTTTGAAACGTTGAGATGGATGACCGAACTTATACAGATCCACACATTGAAAAGAGACCTTTATTTACATGTATAAAATCTTAATACATTGGACCACAATATTTTTCATCAAAATAAAGATAAAGTAAGGTTATAATGAAATATAAACTTGATTGTACCTCACAAGTTTTATACTAATGCCCTGTTCACATGGAGAGTTTAATTTGAATTAAACGGAAGTTACTGCAAATTAAATTTAGATCATGTTCACATGGAAAATTTAATGTAAATTACATACGGTAGTTTAATTCAATTGAATTTACTTCACATTAGCTCCATGTAAATGCTAATCAAAACTAATCTGAATTCAATTTTGACATCACAGGCCACTGTCGGTGGTCAGATATGAGTTCTTGTGCTACTTTCGAGCGGTTAATTAAGGAAAATATGTTAATTACCAAAATATGTACAGGCACTTTGATGTTATCTGCTCTGCCGATGTGACATGATTTGCAAATGATGTCATAATTGGCTTACTGAATAACCTTATTGTAGTCTTGTAGAAATAAATTTTTAATTTGCATTAGTTTACTTCACATTAGCTGTCATGTGAATGCAATTTAATTTACTATTGTTTAATTCACATTATTTTACTTCCCATCAATTTACTGTGAATCAAACTCTCTTTGTGAATGGTGCATAAGATTTAGTTTATAATACATGTACATAATGTTGACACCTATTCAGTTTTAATTTGATTGGGCTCGTCAAACTACGTGTGACTTTTGGTGTGTCTAGACTCTGACATCACATGATGCCATATGTATGTTGCATAAATACCAAATGGAAGTCTGCACAGTGCAAAGGATGAGGTGACTTGGGGCCCCCGGTAAATTGACAAAATATAAATGTCTAGATTTTGTTCAAATTTTTGCATGCAGCTAATCACTGATATGTGTACCTTTATAGAATACTATTTTAAACAAAAATAGAAACGTGATTTGAAAGATATAGACCCTTTATTGGGGTAGGGGTATCATGTTTACATCCAATTCCTATTGCGTTTTAACCACGCCCCACTCTTTGAAGCCCTTAAAATATGCTATACAATTTTCTCCTTTAGCTGGTCACTGGATTTTATTGAAATCTACCTATTTGTAAAAGGAGAAAATTGTACCTAACTGCGCTCACATGCTATTTTTAAGAAAACTGTAAAATCTATCCGGCCTTTCGCATTATGAACAGATCGACGGAACTAGATTTTCTGACGTAAGAATAAATTCATATGCTAAAGGCACTGGCGATACTCTCTAACTGACCAATCAGCTAAACAAAATTCGTTACGAGTGAGTACCATAAAAATACTATGGAAACATGCTTGGAATTTTACTGCTTCAGATATTCTTTTAGAGTCACAGATTAGACACGGATCTACATATGTACAATTTCCGAGATTACAGTAAGATTTTCATACAGTTACAAACAATTTATAAATACATGACAGTATACATTAGTTAGTCTGGTAGCGTGTTTGGTGAGCAATTCGCTATAGGTCTACGCGTATTCCCGAGTATCAGTGAATACAAGTTTCATGTGCATTTCTTGCCCTAAAAACCGTAAATGCTGAAAATACATGCGTATTAATAAGTACAAACAGACTTGACTGACCATTATAAAAGTCTGAAATGTAGAAAACTATGACAGGTAAATTGACCTAAACCACGTGTCTGTGATAAATTGTAAACGTAGTAAACCAGCATGTTTTGTTGTTCTGTCATCGGATTGGACAATGACTATGTGCGATATAATAACAATAGCCATATAAGGGCTTCTCGGACACGTATATTCCTCTTTTGTACTAAGACCCGCCCATTCTCTTGCCATAAAAAACATATTCTCACAAACCTGGCCTAATTTAGCTGTGATAGGGTGTAAAAAATCAAAGGTAATGCAGTTTTCCTTGCAATTAAAATGTGTCTGAACTATTGAAACTACTGAAAAGGCGTCGTATTTATTCACTCATGTTTGAAAACTACCAACATCTTTGTAGATTAAATATAATTCGTCGTGGAAAAAGGGGCCCAAGATAGCAGTTATGTCACATCATCCTTTAATCAAAAACCTTTAATCTACTGATATATCCATTAAAATCAAGGGGAGATTATTTTTTTTCTTGGAACTTCTTGTTACCACAAGAATGTTTTTTGCATTTCGCTAAGGATTATGGGATCACAGGTAACTGCAGAAAAAAAAATTGTAGGGATCAATGTGCAAAGTCTGAATTATCTCTTTGTCCAGGAACTGCTTTAAGAGCTCGCAGTGACCAGTAGCACTCATAAGTTCGCCCTGCTCCCTGTGCTTGCTATAAACAGAAGCAATTCAAATCCAATTCAAAACAATTCAATATTTTTTTTAATTTCTCTAATGGCAATTTTGATGAGTCCACATGAAAAGGGGCTTGCAGATCTTCTTATCATTGTAGTGGCTGTTGTATATGAGAGACTTTGAAAATTTTACTGTTTTGCAAAGAAATTCAGTGACATCTTTGTGCTTAAAAAGTTGTTACTTGTGATACCCTCATGTGATTGTGATACCCTCATACGAATATTATTATTTAGACCTATCGTAAAAAATCTATCATAAAAAATATTTTATACCAGGGACGTTATCACAGGGACTTGAAACAGTCTTAGCAAAATCGGGTGTATTATACTATATACCCGATTTTGTTAAGACTGTGTTAAGTCCCTGTGGACTTTTTGTATATTGTACACTGTTGTATAGCAAGTTTTTGACGACAGTGAGATATTAGTTAATTTGAGACAAATGTAATTGTTTACGCTATAAACTTCATTTCAATCTTTAAAAATAAATATAAATTACCCAATTCGAAATAGACAACTCCCTTCTTTCGCCATCGATCTTTCTCACTCGTCTGACTCGATGTCGTTTGTGTACAAAACACAAAACTAAAGTAGGAAAAAAGAATGGCGCACTAATATTAAAGATTTAAGGCCAACAAACTTATTTCCGGACTGAAGGAACACCCGTTGCACGGAGTTCCATGTATTTATATATTATATGCATATTATCATAGGGATTCCCCATCTTAATTGTTAAAATTTCAGCAACATGGACTAGATTCATAGTTTCAAAGTGAATGTAACATTCTTTCAAATTGAATAGGCGATAACACGAATGGGTGCTATCTAACGTTAATCATTTTAGCTCACCTGTATGGCACGCCAAATTCACAAAAATGAGATAATCATGGTTTCACAGTCGATAAACTAGGTTTATCGGTTGTAAACTATAGTTTACGGACTGTAAACTATAGTTAACAACGTTAATCTATATTTTACATCTGTAAACTATAGTTAACGCGATAATCTATGTTTCACAACCGTAAACTATACTTAACACCAAAAACTATCATTTGCGATTGCAAAACATAGATTATCTGATAAATACAGTTTCACGATTTGTAAACTATAGTTTACAAACCGTTAACTATAGTTAACGATCTGATAAATATAGTTTCACGATTTGTGAAACTATGATGAACAACTCTTAACTATAGTTTACGATTGTAAACCATAGTTTACAAACGTGAATCTATGTTTATCAACAAAATCTATTGTTAACGCTTTATTCAGACAGATAAACTTAGATTATCATTCGTAAACTATAGTTAATAACCGTTAAATATACTTTTACAGATGAAAACTATACTTAACGAATCGTTAACTATACTTAACGAATCGTTAACTATGGGCGTTTTTATTGCAGAGAAACCAGTTTAGGTTTCAGTTCGGTTTTCCAAACTTTTTATTTATTTGCAAAACCTGTAACGAACTAGTTTCAAACCAAAACAAGTTTTTTCCTTTATCGGCTTTAAACTAAAACTAGTTTCCTGAAAACTTTAAACCACCCCCGGGTGCGGTTTTGACGGTTTTAATTCCTTTCAACATGGCGAATGCAGAATTTTTGGTGTTGCAATGCGACCAATGTGGGCAGCAATATGACAAAATCGACTAGTTTTCGGGGGCACATATACAGTGTACTGTGTAAAAAGTAATTGTTGATGTTTCACTTCAATTATTTGATGTTAAAAAATGTAACCATGTTACATACATAAAGACAAATACTAAAGTAAATTAATAAAAGCAGAGATGATAAAAGAAAATCCATTCTTGTTAGTTGAAGTTATTATCATCATGCATATACCAAAGATGGAGCTAACATGGTAATTAGGTCTATTCATTCTAAATCTGTCACGGAAATCATCCATTCTATACAAGGGTAGTATTGCCTCAGCATAATTAGTGACACGAGCCTTTCTTTGTCACCTCTTTTTTATAAAAAGGGTAGAACTCAGCATGGGTATTACAATTACACTCTCATGTAAATGGAGATAAGTTGTAGAAATATCTTCTTCAGATTGTAAGAAAAAATCAAGAAGTCAGTTCATCTATGTCACCTATCTTTGATGTTTCTGTGTGTGTTTTAACTAAAACTTTCCATTTAGTGCTAAACCATTAAACCATAAAACCGGTTTCAAAATTAATAAAAACTATTTTCAAACCATAAACCTAAACTAAAACTAGTTTTTGATCAATAAATTCGCCCTATAGTATACGGTTTGTAAACTATAGTTTACAGTCGATAAACCTAGTTTATCAATTGTGAATCTAGGTTTATCTCATTTTTGTGAATTTGGCGTGCCATACACCTGAGCTGAAAGCTAAAGTAAGCTTTTCTGATCATCCATAAAGGCCATTGTCCGTCGTCCGTCTGTCTGACCGTTTGTAAACTTTTCACATTTTCAAATTCTTCTCAAGAACTACCAGGACAGTTTTAACAAAACTTAGTACCAAGCATCCTTGGGTGAAGGGGGGTTTGAATTGTTAAAATGAAGGGCCAAGTCCCCTTTCAAGAGGAGATAATCAATAAAAGACAAAAATAAGGTTGGATCATTAAAAAGTCTTCGATCTTCTAAAGAACCACTGGACCAGAAATGCTGAAACGTATGTGCAAGCATCCTTGGAAAGTGAAGATTCTAAATTCTTAAAATCATGACCCCCGGGGTTAGGGCGGGGCCACAATAGGGTATCCATAGATATGCTTATAATCATCAATTTATCGTTTTCAAAGAAATGCATTTAAATTATCGACACACAATATTCACAGGCACTTGACACGTACGTTACTTAAAAACAATAATGATAATATCCACATAGATGCTACCTAATAACACACGTGCATTATTTGGTATGGAGATATCATTTTTATACGAAAATTAAGTAATGTCAAGTGCCTGTGATTATATTATATTAAGCATGCATTCGCATAGTACGATTTCTTAAATTTTAATTTTATATTTGGTAGACAAGCAAAAAATATCGACTGTCACACAATTCCATTATTGAACTGGAGCATAACATTTTTTTTTATTGAAACTTCTACTGTTCTGCCGAAATGAAAGTTTCATTTATAAGTAGTTTATTTTCAAAAAACAGATGATAAATGAATGTTAACTCAAATATTAAAATCTGATTATGATAATCAGATTAATAAATCTTAATCACCTACATTGAACTACAAAAGTAAATCGCCATCTATTTCAGAACTGTTTCTACTTTGGCCTACATGCAAAAGTACAAAGAATTAATTTTCTTGATTTAAAAAAAAAAATCAATCTCACGGAGAATAAAACGTTCAGCTGGATTCATTAGTGTGCAAATATGCGTGATGATATGATGTACTTATTGTAGTTAATTACTTGTTAATTAGAAAATGAAGATGAATAGATATTTAGTGTTTCTGACTGTTATTTCTATGTGTTTTATTCGAAATGTTTTCTGTGCCTCTGCTGCGAACGTAGCGCAACTGACTCAAGATTTGTTAACAAACTACGATAAAAGAGTGCGCCCTTTAGTTGACCAGAGTCGGGCGGTTCAACTAGATATAAGTTTCAACCTCTGTGGAATTAACTCGGTTGATGAAGTGGCAGAAAAACTAATTACAACAGGTTTTATCCAGGTTATGTGGACTGATGAATTGTTGACATGGACCCCTGCTTCCAAAAACCAGATCAGTTACATATTTCTAAAGCAGGTAAAAATTTACTTTTGAAAGAGTGCTCGGTACTGGTAAAAGTAACGATCTATAAGTATTTTAGGGTGTATATCATTATTACCGCTACATTTTCGAAATTTTCATTACCGCTACATGGTCATTACTAACAAAAAAACTAGGGATGTCAACGAATATTCGAATATTCGAATATTCATTCGATGAATTGATATTCGAATATAAATTCATGATTCGAATATTCGGATTTTAAGTATACAAGCATAAAAAAAATCTGGCAAAAACTGTAGTTTTATCAGAAATTGAATCAAATTCTCATCGTTGACCAATAATAAGATTTTATTTCAAACAAAATCAAGACACTCCTCTTGGATTACCTTAAAGTTGTGAAGAGCGTGTCTATTAAAATTATATAAATTCTTCATTTGATCATTTAATTAGAGGTATAACAGTGTCTAGTACTTAGAATTAGTTTGTATTGTTGAAAGGAAACATTTTTGTTTATGTATACATCATTTAAAATCATTATCATGAAATTAATTAGCTAAAAGTAATTGCTTTTAATGTTTCTCCATTAGATAATTGTTCTGTGTGGTATAAATATGTAGGGTTATCAGTGTACACTTCAAGTGGTAAGATGATTAATTAATCTTGAACTTATTAAAAGAATCTTTTGAATTTTCGGGGAATTTTTTTTTACTACATTTTGGATATAAACTCTTCATATATTCTGTAAGATATTTTAAGAATATAATTTAAGTGCATTTACAAAACTCTAAATGAAATTTTTTTCTAAAATAATGACATAAAACGTATATATTTCTTGACATAAGAGTGAAGATACATGTATATACATATTATAATGCAAGATGTATTTATTTTATCGAATATTCGAATATATTCGAATACTACTATCGAATATTCGAATATCAATTATTGACAATTTTGACATCCCTAAAAAAAACATAACATTACCACTATACATTAAAAAGTTTACATTATCGCTACACTGCCTCTTTCCTTAGTCAGCAACTTATTCATGTACAGATTGAAGTTAAAGAACATTATATATATAAGTATGGCACGCCAAATTCACAAAAATGAGCAAAACATAGTTTCACAGTCGATAAACTAGGTTTATCGGTTGTAAACTATAGTTTACGGACTGTAAACTATAGTTAACAACGTTAATCTATATTTTACATCTGTAAACTATAGTTAACGCGATAATCTATGTTTCACAACCGTAAACTATACTTAACACTGAAAACAATCATTTGCGATTGCAAAACATAGATTATCTGATAAATACAGTTTCACGATTTGTAAACTATAGTTTACAAACCGTTAACTATAGTTAACGATCTGATAAATATAGTTTCACGATTTGTGAAACTATGATTAACAACTCTTTACTATAGTTTACGATTGTAAACTATAGTTTACAAACGTGAATCTATGTTTATCAACAAAATCTATTGTTAACGCTTATTACAGACAGATAAACTTAGATTATCATTCGTAAACTATAGTTAACAACCCTTAGATATAGTTTTACAGATGAAAACTATATTTAACGAATCGTTAACTATAGTTTACGGTTTGTAAACTATAGTTTACAGTCGATAAACCTAGTTTATCAATTGTGAAACTAGGTTTATCTCATTTTTGTGAATTTGGCGTGCCATATATAAGGCCTGTTTTCCTTGTTCACCATGGGGAGGTGACACATCTCCACACTTTTGAGTGTTTGGAAGTCCTATATATTCGAAACTTAAATTTATCGATAACTATAACAATCCTGCATTCCTGCGATTCAAGCTAACAGTAGCCCTGACGATCAAGTGACGCTTAATTTCAACTATAATCTCATTTTAATTGTTCCCCGCTTTTGCAAAAGCGAGGGGACATTAAATCTCATTCATCTGTCCGTCTGTCAGTCAGTCTGTCTGACTGTCCGTTCGTCACAAAAACTTTAACCTTGCCTATAACTTTTGCTTTAATGGAGCTATCACTTTCATATTTCACATGTGCATTCCTTGTGACAAGACCTTTCTTTGGGTACCACCAAATTTGAACTTTTGACCTTGACCTTGAAGTTTGACCCACTATTACACAAAAATCTTTAACGTTTACTTTGGCCATAACTTTTGAACGGTAGATTCTAAGACTTTCATATTTCACATATATGTATATTCTTTGTGGCAATATCTTTCATTGGTAAAAACAATTTTGACCTTTTTATCTTGACCTTGGAGATTTCCGTACTTATAAAAAAACTTTAACCTTGGCAATAACTTTTAAATGGTAAAGACTAGGGCTTTCATACTTCACACATGTAATACTTGTGACAAGACCTTTCTTAACAAACCAACAACTTTGACCCTTTGACCTTGGAGTTTGACCTACCTTTCAAAAACTTATCCTTGGACATAACTTTTGTACAGGTTGTGCTAGGGCTTTCATATTTCTTAATCGTATTTCTTGTGAGAAGACCCTATTGGGTACCAATATATTTAATTTGCATTTAAGAAAAGTTTAATCTTCGCTATGTTGCCAAACGGGGTCATCAGTGTTTCACAAACACATATTTTGATTGAGAAGAGATAGGGCTTTCATATTTGACATGTGCATTACCTGTGATAAGATATTTCCGAGCATGCTATGATTTCTGACTCCTTGACCTTCACTTTTAAAAATTCAACTTCGGTGATAATTTCTAAATGACATATGATAGGGCGTTCATATTTGACACAATTTGTCATTAAAAATGACATCTCACTCACAAAGACACCGAAAGCGAGGGACCACAATTCTTTGAATTTGCTTATTAGAATTCAAATCAAAATTGTACTTTGGATGAGAACATTTTGTTGGCTGGAACTCGTATTCCATACCATTGCGGACTGATTTTGTTTGTAGTGGTAAAGAATTGTTTTCGGCAATAGCCCTTTTGAAAGAAAATGTAGCGGTAATGATCACCCGAATTTAAGGAAATGTAGCGGTAATGAGTTGACAATTTTGGCAATGTAGCGATATATATAGCTCCTTTTAAACCTGCTTTCAAATAATTTTTCAACAGAGCTTTTTCACGAATCTTAAACCTGATAATTTGCTCTTAATTTAGAATGACATATGGAAACCGGACTTGGTACTTAAAAATGGCTTCCAAAAATTTAAAGAGATGGGTGGAGATTTCTACTACGTTAATGTAGGTAGCGATGGAATGGTCCAGTGGAAACCCTATGAGGTGTTCGAAACCAGGTGCAGTATGGACATAACTCGATTTCCGTACGACAAGCAAACCTGTGAAATCACTTTCATTGTTTGGAGTTATGTTTCTATTGAAGTAAGCATCTTAAAATCTTCAGGGGGATTAGTTTTTTTCGAATACGAAGAGAACAGTGTGTGGACGGTGGAGTCTACAAAGGAGACAATAAAAAATGCTGGAGCCGAATCAGAGCTTACGTTTACTCTTAATTTGAAGCGAAAACCTCAGTATTACGTCTTGAATATGATAATCCCTGTTATATGTTTAGGGATTTTAAGCCTTTTGGTTTTTATCATCCCGGCTGATGCAGGAGAAAAGATGGGCTATTCCGTGACAGTGCTATTGTCCTTTGCCGTCTTCCTGACTATGATCAGCGCGGAACTACCAGTCAATTCTGAAAGTACGTCTTTTCTGAGCTTTTATCTCATTCTTCAAATGGTGATTGGAGCTTCAATTCTGGTCATCACAGCAATACAACTTCGATTGCACCACAGAAAAAACACCTTTGGTATTGCTAAATTCTTTATTTACATCGTAAAACTGGAACAGATTTTGAGGTGCAGAAAATCGTGTTGCTCTCCAAAAAACATTACAAATATTGAACCAATGGATGGTAATGATGACAACAAAGATAAAGTTTCAAATGACCTTGACATTGACTGGAGCGATGTCACTTCCGCTATTGACTTTCTTTGTTTTTGGATTTTTCTCTTAGGAAACACAATTTTAACCATTTTTCTTTTTGCATACTTAACTTCTGGATAGTAATAGTTTCAGTCCCCGATTTTTTTTGGACGGGAGTGTTCTTTTTATGCTCTCGATTGAATCTTCCTTGCAGAGTTGTCGTTCGTTTCTCTCAGACACTGTATGAGCCAATGGTAGAGAGTGTTCTCGTTTAACTAGAAGTTGATTGTAATCACGCGTAGGTCTATTTCTTATGTGATTGATTTGTATATCATGTAAAAATAATTGATAATAAATTCGGCAATCTCTAATTTTTTTATTGCATTTCAGGGGTGTCTCGAATCAAAAGAGGAAAGTTATACCGGTAATAGTCTTTGAACTTAATTTAAATTTCTGCAAATTAAATGCATTTACATGTATCTTAAATACTAATATCAGTAATATTTTTCCACTTTACAGTTTTCAGTTACTTGTACATGATCATTAAAAAAGAGAAAAAAATATTTTTTTAATTTAACTCTTTTCTAAATCTGCCTAGTGCTAAATATCGTCGATACATGTAGAATGAGCTACTGGTATTTACCCACAGGCGCTTGACGTTTTAAACCTTTCTTTTCAGTTTTCATGAATAAAAATATCTGTTATTATTATAGTATAGGGGGTATTTTTATTTATGAAAAGAAAGGTTAAAAACGCCAAGCGTCTGTGTATTTACCGGTTTAATTATAAAATGTAAAGTTACTGTAGTATTTGTTCATAAATCAATTTTGGGTGTTTTTCTTTTATCTATTTGTCATGGTGTTTTGCGCTGGTTTCAAGCAAATCGCTCGTCCACGTAAATCAAATATATTATATATTAAGAATGTGAAATTCAAACACCTTTAGAGTACATGTATTGTAAATTCATGTTCTTTTAATTTTTTTTTAAATAAGGCGTTTATATATATAATGAACCAAGAAAAAAAGAAAAAAATGTAAAGTATTTTATGCATAAAAAAAGGAATTGGTGATGAGTTCCACTTCTTTTTTATTGTAATTGTCCATTAACTTTACAATCAACACTGTCCTATAAATTTATATATTTGGTACTGTAGTTAAATTACGTTAGCAAAAAAACTACAAACGACACCCCCCCCCCCCCCACCCCACCCCCCCCCCCCCCCCCCCGCCCCGCGCGTTGTACGAATCTGCATAGTTTGGTTGTCGCGTTTCATACCAATTTTTACTTTTTAGTCCTTTGCTTTAATACTAAATTTTGACAAAGGAATGTTTTGTCTACCTGACCAGTACATACATAGGTCTCACGACAGGCGTGACCGGTCAACAGGTCATGCTTACTCTAGGCACCTGGTCCCACCCTGAAATTTCCAGGGTCCATGTTTTATTTTATGCCCTGTTTACAGATGTAAACTTTTTGGAGATCGATCAATGTTCACTCGTTAACTATAGTATATAAATGATTAAATCTATCATTGTTTAAATGCAAAGGAGGGGGCAATATTTATATTAGCTGAAAAGCCATATGCAGTCGAGATAAATAGCTATAATTTTAATCTAGAAGTTCTCGATCTATTTTAAAAACAATAATAAGTAAAAAAAAAAAAAAATACTTACCTGGAGGGTCAAGTACATCATGTGAACACAACTTACAAAGATCTTAGGCAATCAGATAACCTGGAATTATTTAAGGTAAGTCACTCGTCAGCTTTTTAGAAAAGTTCACGCAGAAGCTCTTACTTTAAAACTACTTATTAAAATTCAATTTTTATAACATATTTAAATTCAACAACGTAAATTTTTTAACATTCAATGAAAAAACTGCTAACAAATCTACAAAGAAGCAAGATTTATTAGGGACTATTTCTTTTGGTGGAAGGATATTTAGCAGAAAATTCTGCAAATCTGCACATTTATAAAATTAAATGTAATGGAAATTTAGCCTCACATACTTTTGCGGAGAATATTTTCCGTTTTGATATTGCTAAAAATATTTAATATAGGTCTTCATTTATATTTTTAGATAAGTTTTACACCTTCCCTCAACAAACTTTTCCAAAAAATGAAAATATATTAAAGAAGTCAAGGTAAAATGTACACCATTTTTTGCCTGAAAATCACATATTTTGACAAATATTTCAAAATTAATATCACTGACCCCACCTTTTTCTTTCATTATTTTAAACTACTCGATACTTGTGACTGATCAGCACCCAAGTCGTAAAAAGTTTGATATAAGAAAATTTTTTATTGCCTATTAAGTTTTTTAATACCCCATATATGTTATTTTTTAGTGCAAAAAGGTCACACAATAATTTACGCGCATTAATTTGCAAGATTTGTTTATTGATAAATATTATTCAAACTATTTTACGTAAAATAAGATTATATTTATAGCCATGCTTACATCTAATCAAATATAATAAGGATTAAAGTAATTGACCAAAGAGATGAAATTTAAGTGCAAAAAGGTCAACTTAAATGTACCGTAGATCAGTAGGAAAGACCCCCTATTTTCTTTGCGATTTTGAGTTACACTTTATGAGTACTTGTCCAAAATATACTTCTAAAAAAATCCTTGATATAAGAAATTTCAGGAGTGACTTACCTTAATCAGTTTATTTTTAAAAAAGAATTTCGTCCCCTGGGTATTGTCATGATTAATCATGATTTTAGAAGAAAAAAAATCATACGATTAAAAATAATATTCACACGTTACACGAGCCCCCAGTGAGGATCGAACTCACGACCCCTGGTTTACAAGACCAGTGCTCTAACCACTGAGCTATGGAGGCTTGTATAGTAATGGAAAATCTTAATAGTTTAAATTACGTCATTTAATTACTGAATTTATGTTACACAGACATATTTTCAGTAAATACTCACTTCACATAAACTTACCTTATTTTCATATCCTATTTCTTTTCAATTTCTTTTCAATTAAAGTTATCATTGTTTATTTTTGAATATTGAACACCTCTATTTTCTAAAATGCTTCAAATTGTTAAATGAAATTCAAAAATAATGTCTCTACATGGCCTAAATATAATAATATGCTCATAATCTTCACAATGTATCTTCAAAATATCCCAGTATGTTAAGTTTTATATCGAGTAAAAAATCTTCGGTGTTACAAAGCTTCATAATTTTTTTTTTGTAATTTAATACCAATAAATCACTGTCTTCAAAGTGTGACATTCAAATATTCCGTGAAACAATACTGAATTATATATCACATGGTCAATATTAATGTATTAGTGTATATAATTATCACATATCGTCCAAACAGACAACGTGCGATAACAATTACCACAAAAATATTAATGTAAGATAGACTATGCTTCATTCATAGTATGGTGGCATATTTATGCCATCCACATAATTTTTTGTCAAGATAAGATATCACGTCAAGTCAAGATAACTATCGCGTCTAGTCATGACAACTTTCTGGTTTGTCGTCAAACACCGACTTTTATCTTGTAGAGTCAAGATAAGCTATCGTATTTTTGTGATAGCTATCTCGACAAAACGAGATAATTTATCTTGTTTCACAATTAAAAGTTATCTCGTCATGTCAAGATAGTTAGTGCAACAAAACGTGATAGCTTATCTTGACTTGACAAGATAAAAGTCTTGACTTGACAAGATAAAAGTCGGTGTTTGACGACAAACCAGAAAGTTATCATGACTTGACGAGATAGATATCTTGATTTGACATGATATGCTATGTTAACAAAAAGTTATGTGGGTGGCATAAATATGCCACCATTTCATACAGCTTATTTTCGAGTTTTCGGGTAAATTGAATCTCTAATCCCGTTGTCTTCTCTGCAGAGATAAATAAGCTAATCAAGAGAATTTGTGCCCTTCGTTATCTACTAGAAAACAAAGAAAATAGTGTAAGAACTGCAAAAATTCGCATATGGAGACAACAATATCAATCTTAACCTTTTACCATTTCAACTTTATGTCAATAGCAGTCTTTTTAAAGTTGAAGAAATCAATGACAAAAAGTTTAATTTCAAAACCTTACAGGGAAACTAAGATTATTGTCTGAAAACCATATATAATTTATGCAATATGCATGTACAGCTCAGCGCACTTTTTAAGCTCACAGGCCAGGGTTTGCACAAATTAAGGTCACATTCTTTCGTAATAAAACTGAACATTATCGACCTTCAGTACGAGACAAAACCCTAAAATAGTAAAATGTATTGAATATTTCATGTCAAAGGCACATATTCTTTAAAATCATTATCTTAAAGTTTCAAAGTCGATGTTTTAAAGAATTCTGCCATAGGTATTTGCAGATTAATTTAATCGAGGTTTCTTTGATGCTACATTTTAGTACATTGTTATTTATCTTTGAAAATACGTTTAACCGATTCTTTGTAACATAGTGCCACTGTGCACCTATTTTACTTTTGGAAACATATTTCGGGTTTCCCATATCAAAAGTGGATTTGTAATTATTATCATATGGGAGGCGCGGGGTATCATTCAGTGAGCTCGGTGCTCAAAGTGCCTTAGAATAGCTTAAAAAACGGTAGGGTATATAGTGATCGCGATGTCCTTCTGTCTGTTTGTACGTCCGTTCGTTACGATTTTGGGTACCTATCTCTTATACGCAACTCCTCTTATACCACTGAATGTGAATTTTAATGAAATGTTTACAGAATCTTTGTTCCATAGCGCCATTGTGGCCTCTTATTTTACCTTATTTGGGTTTCCCGGAGCAAAATATGAACACTGTCATTTATCTATAATATTATGGAAGGGTACTCATCTCTAATCCGCAACTCCTCCTTTACCACTAAATTAAATTTAAATATTTTCAAAGATTCTTCATTATATAATGCCATTAAGCACCTCCTATTTTACTTTTTGATCCGACACTTATTTTGGGTCTCTCATAGCAAGACATGTACTTCGCCATAATAATCACATGGAAGGCGGGGGTATCATTTAGTGACGGTACCTTTAGTTTTTTTAATATAAAAAATAGGCATTAATTCTTTAACACAATTCTTACGAGAAAATTCCCTCCTTAGAAGCAGTCACACAAGCGCCGAGTTGTTTCAACTTTCCTTGAAAAGGGGGGGGAGGGTTGATACTGAAGACTCAGACACTCCGTTGTAAGTGTTTATTCAATATATTGCACAAGTGACATGAACTATGATACAAAACATAGCAGATGACATACAGTACAGATCATAGAAAAGTCTGCAGCAAATAATGTGGTAATGTACGCAAAGAAGTGACACCTTAACAGAACTTGTATCAACTAAAAGTCAATTTATTTCGGATTCTGGCGTTTTTATCAAATAGAACTCGTGCACAATGAAGTTATATTTCATTTATAAAATTACTCTCTATAAATTTGCAAACACAAAAGCTCAGCATAGACGAAGATTTTTCAGGAGGCATGGCTTGTATTTATTTCGATACATCAAAATACTGGATATACAGCCAGATTTAATATTTGGTATAACGTTTTGATTAATAAAATTCAAAAGCAGCAGATCAGTGAGGGATCAAAACAAATGAATTCAGAACACCATTTACAAAAACTAATTCTGATAAGCAATACAGGTTATACTGATCTATTGTGGAAGTACCGGGTATTTGACAACCAACATGTTCCTGTAATGCATTATATCTTGCTGTGTGACAATTTTCATAAAATTCTTCTGGACAATTTGCAAGGGAAATTCAAGTTCATAACTCTTTAATCTTTTTTTCAATTTACCTTTCTTTGTAAGGTACACTGTTTTACACACAGAAGTGGAAATTTAGCACCATACATCTTTTCAATGATTTCTGCCAAACAATGCAGTAAGTGCTTTGCCAAACCAGGGCATTTGATCAAGCAACAATTTGCTCCTTCTATCTATCTCCATTTTTTTTTATTCTTCAAAAATGGTTGTCTGAATTTGAAATGGTTGAAATTTTACAAAACTTATATGACTTGCATTCTGAAACATTCTATCTTTCTATTCCAAAAAGTTCAACATCTCCATATAATTATTAAAATTTGACTGCAAAAATTCTCTGCAAATGACAAGAATGTGGTCATCAAGTAAAAATAACTTAGGCCTACAAGTCTAACTAAATGGCAAGGTTTAAAATTCATTCCAAAACACAATAGATGGAAGTAAGGGGATGTTTCCATCCTTTCACAGAATAAAGTGATATAAACACAAATTTTGTGAAACCAAATGGAGAGCACACATATTTTAATGTATATTCCACAGGAATTTTTTACAAATACATGTACAATGTACAAAGCTAGAATTTGTTTTAGAAATACTGCATCATATTATGAATGGATGATGTGTGTGCATATCACTCAATGTAAACTACCATTAGGTACATGAAATGAGAACTTAACATATGAGAATATAGAAATGAATGACTAGATATCGCTATCTATCAAAAAACATTTTTTTTATCATTAAAACTGTACACAATTGTGAAATTAAACATCCCTGACAAAGCTGTTTTAATCTTGATGATTCATGATTTTTTACTTCCACTCAAAGTCTTTACTTCTGTGCATAAAATTGTGTGATATAAAAGCAAGAAATTCAAAGGATCATTTACAGATCAAACTCATCAACACACTGTTATCAATATTCTGACATAATCTAAATACAAGAATCAATTAGCTGAAATGCATAATAAAATGAAATTTTCAACCCTCTGAATGATTTTATTTAAATCCACTAAATATGTGGCATTTGTAGGCAACAAATTGAAGAAACAATTGATGCCAAAAAAAAATTCATCAAGTATAATTGTAAAAGCCTATGATGAGACTGTGACATTAAATTTTCCTAGGATACTTCAATTCTACATACTTTACTAGAATATGGTATTAAATAAAAATACAACATTAAATAACTACCTTAAAAATGTTTACACATACATTTTGTAAATATTAATGTGCACCTTAAGCAATATAATATAGTCCTCCTTTGTATAGATATAATTAAAATTATATAGGTTACAAAGTCTATGGCAACAAAAGGTCAAGGTCATAGGTCAAATACAACATGAAACTGACAACAGTGGATCACAACCTTTAGAAAAACCTCCCCATTGATAAATCCCTCCTGATAAATTAAAAAAATTACACTTACGAAATCTTATTCTTGATTAAAGATGATTAATTAATCATTTTATGATTTCTCTTGTATAAATTTTTCTATAAAATACACATCAAAAAAAGATATGCCAATATGCAAGGATATATACTGGTACTCTTAACAAATAAATGGGAAAATTCCTTTGTAGAAAGCTTCTTTAACAAACTTGTAGACAAAGCAAAAATGCTGTGGAGGAAATGATACCCCATCACCAGACTTAATATCTTGGTATCCTGTTAATCTAAAGGCACACGATGTGGCATCCATTCTTAATGCCAGCTACACAATGTTTACAACTTATCCCCAATTTCAAAATAGCTTATGGAAAGTAATGTATAAACAAAATATTAACCATATCATACTTGGAGGATATTAGGCAAAAGCTACATATACAGAGCCACAGTGTGTGTGAATTTATCTCAACATTTCTACAAAAGTCTGTCCCAGCTCCCATGTAAATCTGAATAAAGTCAAAGCTAAATCTTTCTACCTAGCTGATTGTCTATTCTGTTAGGAAGAGTGATAAATAAAATATTTCTTTTCTAAACTGAGAAGTGAACATCATTTCTAAAATGTTGAAAGATAGAAAGAGTATATATAGCAGAATTATCATTACTTCACAAGGTGTTTGACTCGAACATGCAAAACAAGTTTCTCCAAGAAGGATAACTCTAGTATATGATATTTCTTAAATGCATAAATGTTGAATGCAACAAAACTGAAAATTCAGTCACTAAATTTCTATATGAACACTTTTATAAATCTTTAACTAAAAGAATTTATGGTACATGTATTTATCAGAGTTTAAAATGCAAGAATACCATATACATGTATACTATAAATTTAATATTTTTAAATTTATCAACATATATCAAGTTATGCATGCTGATTTAATACTTAATTCAAGGGTTTATAAAATGGTAAAATTTAATTAATAGTAAATATTTGAAAGTGAATCTATAAATAAAAAAATTGTACTGCAGTGGTCTTTTTTTTAAATGTACAATTATTAAAATTTCTATTTCAGGAAATGGTGTCGACTTTTTCATAAATGTTGACCCTCACACATACAAGTACATGTAAACTAAACATTAACAATATGCCACTCTAAATGTTCCTTATAAAGAAGGTGCATGATACAGAGTAATATCACACGATCAACAAAACTTGACAACATCCTACACACTGGATACAGACAGGTAGATGGTGGTTTTAGATGATGCCAGATCCCCCAATGAACAGCTGATAGACCCAGATCATAGAAGCTGACATTTATGATTTTTTGTTCTAATTGGTTGTGGTTGCAACACTGCTCTACATGCTTCATCAAACACCTGAAAGAACAAATGTATTATGTGTTATGATGTTTTTTTTGTTAAAGAGTGTAAAAATGACTACAGAACAGGTTTGTGTCACACTGCAGTATTGTTTTAGAAAAATCAAAATATGGAAGAACAACTATTATTTTGCAACAATTTCATTCTTCATCATTCAAAATCCATCCAAGAATTTTAAATTTCATGACTAAAGAAACATATTGTAAAACAAAAGGCCCATGGGCCACAATGCTCATTCTGAGTAACTTTGGCTCTGTTGTTCTTAATCAGATTTTCCCCACAAGTCATACTTATTTTTGCCCCACCCAACCCACATACATGGGTGATTAATTCACCAATTTAGAATCTACATTACCACAGGATTCTTCCTTGTAAGCATCAGCTTTTCGGCCAAATGGTTCTTGAGAAAAGGATTTTAAAATATTTTTCCTATCTATTTCAATGTAAAATTTTGTTTCCTTGATGTGGCCCAACCAATCTCCTGTTAGACCATGATTTGAACAATGAATCAAAACTGCCTCAGAGAGACTCCACATAAAACTAACTTTTTTGGCCCAGTGGTATTTGAGATTTTTTTAATAACCCTTCCCTTTATATTTGACTTTTGTTGGCTTGACCTTTCAATTTAATAATTTAAACTCCACTTCACCTAAGGAAGTACCAGGATATTGTACCAGATTTTGTTAAAAATTGGCCCAGTTATTCGTGAGAAGTTGAAAATGTGAAAAATTTACAATTTTACATATGAAGGGTGGACAAACGATGAACAATAGGTGATCAGAAAAGCTCACTTGAGCCAAAAGCTCTTTTGGCTCAAGTGAGCTAATAAAATTGTGAGAATTATTCATGTGTAAAAGATTGTTATATGCAGATGGGTATTACTCACACACAAATAAATGCTGATTTACTTTATTCATATGAAACCCAATCATAACATTCAAGACATTAAAATTTATTCTTATATAGTTAATATCCTATAGAAGTACCTGTTTAAGACCTCTCTGAGTCAGTGCAGAACATTCCATGTATTTGACAGCTCGGATTTTATTGGCTAACTTGATACCCTGTTCACGCTTCACTGGAGATAAACCTTGGGCAGCTAGTTGTCCTATCGCCTCCTTATTTTCTCGTAAATCTATTTTAGTTCCTGCAAAAGCAAAAAATCTTCATATCAAAAACTTAATTTTTAAACCTGCTTCACAATTTTATTGAATTTTCTTAATTTGGAGATTCAGATGCAAATGAATTTTTATTTCTCTACATGAGAACTTCAGTTTTAAATAAATTTTACTTTTCATGAAATTTTTTTCTAGATGGAAAATTATATTCCAATATCCATAGAATCTGAGGAAATCGAATTAGCAAAAATATCATTCCTCTCTGTTCAATACCACAGCAGCAGAGTTTGAAATCAACTCATTCCAGGGGCATTTCCTGTTGTATGCCTGTGTTTTGTTGGCACTACTTACCAACTAAAAGTATAGGTGCCTCAGGACAATGGTGTTTAACTTCTGGATTCCATTTTGTTGTTACATTTTCATACGATGAAGGACTGACTACACTAAAACATATTAAGAAGACATCCGTCTGCAAATCAAACAAAGTTTCAATTAGGTCTAGATGTATGTATGTAAAACAACAAAGAGCATTAAGATATAATAAATACAGAAAATACTGAACCTGGGTTCAAATATAAAATAACTTTTTAGCTGCCAAACAATGACAATGCCTAAAAATATTAACCCCCAAAGTATAATCACAATAGCAACCTAACTATCTTGAAACCCATGGTTCAACTTTTCATCGTATAAAAATACCAATAATACCAATTTATACAATGTGTACAACAAACCTGTGGATATGATAGTGGTCGTAATCTGTCATAATCCTCTTGACCAGCAGTATCCCATAATCCCAAGCTGACCGGAACTCCGTCTACCATCATGTTGGCAGTGTAATTGTCAAAGCTACAGAAAAGGGAATTTCAATATTAAAAGAAGCTTCATATGAGTAAGTGGGTCAAATGTATACAGAATCATCTTCCTGAAATTATAGTCAGACTCAGAGTTGAGGGTATATTTTTTTACAGTAGAAAAATTTGTTCAAGATGAAGATACATGTATGTGAAGAGTTAGTTTATTTGTTTGACATCAAGTTCAGAATGTTTCTATTTTACTCCTTGGGCTAGATAAGAGACACTTTCTCATGGCAGATCAAGTGCTTTATTACAATACAATCAAACACTATGAGGATTATGACTTTTATCATAATAAAGAAACTGAAAACTACAGATTGGACCTCTTTGAACATACTAGCTTTTCAAATTGTTGATGGAGAAAAATGGAAATCACAATAAATAGAGAAATATTTAAGGCATATTTTCAAACTTCTAAAACTCTCTCTTTCCTGAATTTTTTTCCCCAAAACTGTCAGATATGGCAGTTTGTCATGTCTTTTTGGAGAAAAATTGATAGAAACTGGTCAGAAATTGAACATATCAGATATGAGCATTTGCCATGCTGACATTCTAAACTGAACTAGAAAACTGACCTGAATTAGTTTGGACTGATTCTCTCTTACTGGGTTTTTCAGAGTAGGTGCCACAGAGGTGTTGATCACTATAATAAAGTGCCCCGCCACAGCATGATACCCCCATCAAATATTGTTCAATAATCATAAATTGGTTATCAAGAAAATCAAGTAACCTTGATTAACAGATTGACACAGATTTCAATGATCTAAGTTTCTTATCATGCTTAAAATATTGTACATACATCTCTAAGAGACTTACAGTGTAGGGATTAATTAAATAATACATCATATAATTCTAAACTGGCTGTGTTAGAGCTTAACAAATATCCATCTGCAGCTTTAAATTGTTTATTGCATATTTTATGAAATAATGGAAATGCTACAGTCTAATAAAAAAAAAATCAAAAATCAATTATTCTTTAGACTAAAAAATTCTAAGTGAGACATGACTGCAATTTGTTGCAAATATATAAAAATTGAAATGTAATTTTTTTTTTCAATGAACACATGCAGTTTTAATCATTAAAACATCAATTTGTGAAAGATCTTTATCTGAACTACAGCCATCAAGAACTCTTAATTAACACAAGCAACTATAAGGCCATTTCTTTTTGCCCAACTCCCAAGAGTAAAAGCACTACATGATTTTAGTTAACTCCCGATAAAGAAGTCATTAATTTCTCTCTAATTTGATATGCACATTTCTGCTATCAAAATTTCTCCTTGACCAGTGCTTGATAATTATGCCCATGGGACAATCTGAACTCCTTTCAAATCATTAACATTTGTTACAGAATTTGCTGTAAAGTATATGATAAAAAATAAGTTTTTACTTAATTTAGCACTTTTTAATAAGGATACAACTATATTTTTACATTTTTTAGGTTTATGAAATATAAAATTTTAAAGACTTAGTTTTTTAAAAAAAATCACTTAAAGGTCACAGTGACTTTGAAATAGTGCATAAATTGTAAGTTTGATGACATAGTTTTCATATGAGCCAAACAAAATCACGTAAAATGCAGAAAAATCATCCAATCATGAAAATCCCAGGTGCACACCTTCATATGGTGAATAATAAGTGTATAAATTTTCAGACAAATCTTCCAACAGTTTCTGAGAAACGGACAAAATCTTGTCTACAGAAAACAACAAAAATTCCGAATAACCCCCTAAACTTCGTTTGCGGGGGTATAAAAATATAGGAAGAATAAGCAACAGCAACTGTATTCTTAAAATTTCAAGATAATTCCTGAATATCCAAAATCTTGTAAATGATATCCTTGTATTTACAATAAGAAGTAAAGAACAACTTATTTAAACAATAATGAAGCTTGTGTTATATAAATTACCAGCCTTCACTGAATGCAAATACTAGTACCATGAAGGCTTGACCTTAACTTCAAAACAGACAAAGGTTTTCATTAATCTTAAATACTTAAACACTGATAATTAATCCCAAGGGATTAATTGTACCTCTCTCATTATTTTCTTCTAAAGTTACAACAAGAACTTTTTCAGTATTAATTATAGAATGGGGTTTTTATCCAACTATCTTAAATATTCTTGAATTTACATAAAGGAAAAAAGAAGTAAAAATAAAAAAATATATACCTTCTTTAATCTATTTCTTGTTGTTAGAATTCAATGAAATAATAACTCATTGTGTAGGGTATTTTAACAAAAATAAGGTATAAACATTTATATTTATTAAATCCACATTTCAGAGTGTTCATAGTATTCCAAATTGACTTAACTTCAAAACAAACTTCATTTGCAGACAGAGGTGGTAATTAATCTCAATGTGACAGACTGACAGATAAAGATAATGCTTTGGATTTTCTTCAAGAGGAAAGCTAATTAATCCGAAGGGACTCATAGCAGCATTCAGTTTTCACTGGGAACATTTTCAGCAGTTATCTCTCTTTGCCAATGCATTCTATATAAAGTTAAGGAAGCTGAGAAACAAACTTAGCATCAAAATATGTCTTTCTGCCTATTGAATTACCATACCAAACTTGATCTTAATTGGACAGAGATCAGTGCATCCTTACTTATCTCACTGGTACATGTATATATCACAAGGAAATTATACATGTTGTTAATGTTATCTTCCTATAATTTTAGATGCTGACTCACAATGTGGGCACATATTCCCCCTGGGGAAGCTGTCAGTGGTATATGGAATCAGCATACTTACACTGTAGTGGTAGGAAAAACTCTTGTTTTGTGGGGATTTATTTTCGTGGATGTAGAATTGTTCAGTAGTTATGCATGTCACATTTTACATTTGGTGGTGGACATGAATTTGTGGGTCTCTTCACACCACAAAAACAACGAAAAAATTAAACCCCCACAAAAATTTGTGATTTCACAGTATTCCCCTGGGAAGCCATCAGTGGTATATGCGATCAGCATACTTACACAGTGGGCACATATTCCCCTGGGAAGCTGTCAGTGGTATATGAGATCAGCATACTTACACTGTGGGCACATATTCCCCTGGGAAGCTGTCAGTGGTATATGAGATCAGCATACTTACACTGTGGGCACATATTCCCCTGGGAAGCTGTCAGTGGTATATGAGATCATACTAACACAGTGGGCACATATTCCCCTGTGAACGACAACACACTTAATTGGCCGACCCTGAGCCATGGCACAACTCTAAATCAAACCGTGGAATTTACTGTAACCAAAATAAAATCTTAATAAAAATTTGACTGTACACAAATTTCTCACTTAAAAATTACTGGGAAGACCAGTGGCAGGCAATATCATGTGGGCACATATTCCCCTGGGAACAGTGGTATATATATTATACGTAACTATTAGCATGCTATCTAAAATTTGAATGCACTAAAGTTAAAATCTAAAGCATCATCCTAAAACATAAAATTTGCAATAAATTCATAGAATATACAGTTATAATAATATGCTAAAACATAATAAAATTTTCTAAAAAATATAATATCATATGCAACACTGAAAAATAAATATCTTAAAATAAAAGTGTATATATGGATGTTTTTGTAAGAATGTTATTTTAATATATGTTAAACAAGAAAAGGACCTGTTTATTAGAATCCAGCATCTACATGTATACAGTGGTAAATTTCTGTCAGTCAACAAACAAATTAACAGATGCTTAGGTGAGATAACTTGTGTTTAGACAGATCTTACAGCACTTCTGAGCTAGTAAAACAAATATCAATACTGGATATCTCCATTCCAGTACAGGGTGTCAACAAAACTGGTTACAAGAATATAAATATAAATCAACTTTCAAATATTTTATCTTAATTTCTGTTAAATTTATACATACAAAACAAAACTATTTCTATAGTTTTAAAAATATAACTTGAAAATATGGAGTTGTATGGTGTATGAATGTCAAAATCAAAAGATTCTTATTTCTGACAAATGTAGTTCCATTAATCAAATTTTGTACAGCCCTGTAGCAGGCAAGTGTAACATGACCTGGGCAGTGAATATATGTGTGCTGCTTTTATCTTTGAGGTACACAGATAAGATGGTAGTTTACCATTTCCTCTGCAACCTACATGATGTCTGTTTGTCTGAAGAGGAAATAAAAACCACTGATGGTTTTACAGTCCATCTGTAAAAACGATTCTGTGTGTTTCATCAAAAGATGCATGCAATGCAATAACTGTAATTGACATTTTTTTGGTAGAACCATAAACTTTAAAGTTTAATTGGAAATGGGTTTTTTTAATCACAACTTCAGTGTTATGCTTGACTCCAAATGATTTTTTGGTTCATGATAAACAACAATCTTTATAACCTAAATATTTCTCTTGCAATGAATTATCAGAAGTTGCCAATGTTTGAATCTTTTGTCTCAATTTCAGTGATCTATAATTTTTCCAGTGACCATATAGATATTTTGTTACAACCTTTGATTTGACATACAGGATTCATTCTTTCTACATTTATATGCAAATATTAATATATATATCTATAAATATTTATATGGATGCACATATTAATCTGACATATATATTTTTTTTCTTCAAAGGTTCTTTACTTTTCAAAATAACTAAAAATTAGTATGTAATCACCAATATCATTATTTTCTGGGCTCAAATAACTGCTCATTGCATTGTAAAACATTTTTAAAAATCATAAATGTCATAGAGTATAGTGGCTATATATATATATATATATTTTTTTTTTTTTTTTCTTTGAAGACTTTGTCAGACTTTACACGTAATAAGCATCTCTATCAGACAGCTTCTGATAATTCTATTTTACTTAATGAAAAGGGTGGTTCATACAGGTACCATCTAGAAAGAATTCTTTTATCTCCATAATGCACATATGATACATACAAGAGCTGTCTTTTCTTTTTCACAGATGTCTTCCACTACTAAGTGAGTTTACTCTGACAAACATGCATTAACATAATTAAATCCTCTGAGAAAATTAGATATGCTGTCCCTAGATATGTTTATGGTACACAGATACTTACATAAATTAACAGTAAATCAGATACTATACAATTATTGCTGTTTTTTGACTGAAAAATCTGACGTTTTCCAGGCTTTTTTAACGATTTTGATATTTTACATGCCTGGATAACGTGAGAACCGGTGCCATTATGAAAGCTGGTAATTTCACCGTCTCCTACCGGAGTTGATTTTCGATACTTGCGAACCGAGCTAAATGCCGAAATCAGAATTTATCAATAGCACAATGCCTCTAGTACTCACCAATATCGATGAAAAGAAAATATTACTCCACATTTCGTTACAGGACTTGCAAGATTTAAAATACACGAAATGAAGATGAGTCTTGACAGTCTGATAAAATTGTTTTCAACAGATTGTAAATTCTAAAAATGAACCATAAAAACAATATCAGTAAGAACTAAACGTATTGTACTATTGATAATTTGTTACTTTGAAATTTAATTCGATTCACAAGTATCTAAAATCCACTTGGGAATGCCGCCTCCGGTTGGAGGCCGCGATTTCCCAATTTTCCTTATTGCTAAATCATCGTTTTGACCTCAAAAAACACCAATAACTGTTTTATTATATGATTAAATGATAGCAAACTCCTACAAGACTGTTTTTGCTTTAATTTAAAGTTTTAACGAGAAATTTCAACAAAACGCATTGTTAAAGGAAATATGGAACAGGAATAATTCCTTGTATTGACCTGCAATAATTCCTTGTATTGACCTGGAAGGTAACATGATTCATAATATTGACCTGCAATAATTCCTTGTATCAATTGACCTGGAAGGTCATGTGCAGGTCAATATAACGAAGTATTTTTCTAACATTGTTGGATCTCAGCCAATCAGTGATATTTTATACAATACAAGTCAACATATTATAACATTGCGGTGTCAGCAGGATTCTTGATCATTCTCACAATAACTCTGCTTTGTGAAGTAAGTTCATTCAAGAATATGATTTTGAATCATGCTATCACTGTATTCAGGGGTGTTCTCTATATAATACTACATGTACATGTATTGTCAACACTCTTGGCCCCGACTACTGATTTTAGAGCTAAAATCAATGCTATATTTGCCCATGGTGCTAGTTAATGTGAAACAAAAGAAGTCATATTTTTCAAATAATTTGTTGCCAACATCAGTTTGGAGAATATATATTGCACATTGCTAGCAACAGTCAGTTCAGTGACAATAACAGGAAGGGATACACTTATAAGTTTAGTGAAGCTCCAAAAGCAGCCAAACTGATTTTTAATAAATCAAATGTAACTGAAGAGAGGAAATGCAGTGGATAAATCTGGACTTGAACCCCGGGCCCCCTGAATCTCCAGTCAGTTGCTCTACTGACTGAGCAGTCTGGCTGCCTATGATCGAATCCAATTTTGCTCTGACCGCTACATTTCTCCTATCTTAAAGGTCTTTGGACCCCCAGTGACACCAATCCAAGCTCATCGCTGACAGATCTCTCACCTGTCAATTCCAGGGCATGGCATCACACCAAATGTAATGGGAAGCAGGAAAATGAAGCGGACCGCATTGGGATTTAAACCAGGGCCTCCTGAATTTCAAGTCAAGTGTTCTACCGACTGAGAGCTACATGTATCTGGCCACTAGTGATCGAACCTGGCTGACTGCCACAGGTCACATTAAAATGATTACCGGTACTGTTTATTTCAAATTCACTAAATTTTACACCTTTCTGTCATACATTTAGATGTATTAATATCAGTTCTTGGGTTAGTAACTGGTAACCTCATCTAAGTAACAATTTCTATAGCTCCTGGACTTGTACATGCTAAAACCATTTTTTGTAGTACGTCTCACACTCCTGAGTATCCCCCAAAATATTTCTTTGGCTGTAATGTATTACCATGACTGCAATTCCTTTTGACTCAAAAAATGAAGTTAATGCTAAATTTCTCAAGTTTGAGAGGTTGTAAAATGTAAACCCATCACACACCCATAAAAATAAAACACGATGCATATATCGATATTTGTTATGCATCAGACTAAAAAATGAATGAAATCTCGTTGAAAATTAGACATCACACGCTTGCTGCAATATTTCTTTATCTGCTGATAAGCAAAATTTGGATTGTGTTTAAAACAATATATGTAATCAAAATTGGTGGAAAAATTCATGTCAGCTGTATTTTTGCTTTTAAATCATTGCAACTGTCCAAATTTGGCAATACATGTATTTGTCAAAATTAAATATAGAGTAGAACCCCTTCTCAAAGAGATAATCCCTATAAAACAACAAGAATTTTAGATGAATGAGATTTGCATAGATCAGGCAATCATTTATAGTTGTAACTTGTACTTGGTCTTGGTAAGTTTGTTAACTGTTATTTGTTCTGAACAAAACATTTGTATTCGAGCCTCTCATTGGTTAATTTCCACATTAGACTGATTAGTTACATGCACTCATTAAGATTGTTACTAATTGTCCACAGAAATATGGCAAGTTGTTCAAATCAGTCAGACATGGGAAGTCTCAGTTTTCCTTACCTTTTATAGATTGAACAATCTGCCATCTTTGTTAGGACAGTCGGTCACAAACGTTACAAGTAATAATGTTATGGTTCATTATGTCAGATGAAAATCAATTATCAAGCAAAGTCTTTTCAAGATATTAGCAATTTAATTGTAAAGAAAACGAAAATGAGGATTTGAAGAAAAAAGCGAAAATTATCATGCTTTTAATCCTCATCGCCTTGCATGTACTACAGGACATCCATACCTAACAGATTTGTAAACCAATAGTCAATACATCGTCCGAGGAAATTCGAAACATTTTCATTCATGCAAATTTTACTACGAGATCGACTGCCACTGCCACAGTGACCTGCTTTGGCCAGGATTTCTCCTTAATCTTAAGATAGATATCTTAAACTACATTTTTATTTGGTACTGATCTAATATGGCGAATCTAGATATACACGAACGTGATGAAGTATGATTCAGCGACAGATATTCATGGCCTCACCCGCCATCCCTTCACACAAAGAAATTGACAATAAAACCCCTGCTTTACATATCAGTAAACATTCGAGATACTTACCTATATATTCTCTTTCTTGTTATGTACTGGAAGATCATATAATCATTATTATTAAGTCTTTCTTAGTGTAAAATTTTATAGGAATCGCATCAGAAATAGCTCAGACAGTTGCCATTTTTATGCATCGCAGAGATATGCTATTAATAACTGACCAATGAAAATGCCCAGGACAAAGATAGAGTCGCGACTCCTTTCCAAAAATACTAAACAATTTGTCGCTTTCAAAAATTCCTTTTATTTTCAAAAGACTATTGCTCAATTCATATGTATTCATAATATTGAAAAAATATAACCATTTTATCCACATGGAAATCATAAATCCTAAATATGGCAAAAAAGGAATATGATGTAAACATGGTATATTAATTTAGCCCAATTTCATGAATACTGTACACATTTTTATGCAGCATGGATTATTTAAAAAAAACTTTTATTTCTATGTTTTCGAATCGACGGCGAGGGGACATAGGAATGGAAGAAGGAGTAACAAAATGTAATAAAAGATGTCATACTGTTTAACCCCCCCCCCCTTTCCGACATATGGTTTTATATGTCTCTGCACCACAACCATCATTTTCTCTAAATAGAGAGGATCAATGAGTTTGGTTAAGATATTTTTCTTCTCCTTCAAATATGCTGCTTTTTCATTAAAGAGAGTTATTAGCGTGTGTACGTGGGGGAGGGGGTGTAGAGTATCTTTAAAAAAATTTTTTTTTTTTTATTTACTATATAGTCGACTGTCCTGCAACTATGCAACAAAGAAACTGACATTTGGACGGTCCATTTTAATCTGATGGCGATGGTTTTCGAGATAAAGGAGAAACGTTTATAAAACGAGGATCGAGTGAATTTATAAAATCGAAAAGAAAAACCCGCCTCCTTTTCCAGGTTTTGTTTTGAACTGTGTTATTTAAAAATATCTTTTCAATCCATAAATTAGACCATTATAAAACCAAGTAAATGTCTTCTTAGTTTTCTTTTTTGATACAGCTAAGTGTGTTATATATATGATTCGATTTCTTTTCTTGGAAAAGTTTAAAATTACAAATTACTTAGATAATATTCAAAATACTGTAGTATTGACTTTTCAATTATATGAATAGTACTGGAATAAAGAGGGTATACATATATTATATGTTTATGCCTAATGGGCCCTGATTGGTAATAAATTCTATTCTATTCTATTCTATTCTATTCTATTATAAACACGTTTGAAATGGAAATACATATACATAAAATTTATAGCCTTTGATCCCCCTGAGAATGTGGATAAGGGGGCCGCTGGTGTATAAAACGATGCGGCTGACTCTTTTCTTATCCTGAGTTTCATCGACCACCACTAACCTTGAAAGTGAAAAGCCTTGACAGCCCCCCCCCCCCCCCCCCAAAAAAAAAGATTAGTTTTGAAAAATTTAGGCTTTAGTGCACTGTGCACTTCTCTGAACTTCCAAAATATGACGTCATAATGGAAAATGACGTCTTCACTGCCATATTTCAAACTCATGTTAGTAAGGGCTACTGCAACAAAGTTCACGGATCTTTTAATTATAAATATTTTTTTATTTGTTTTAATGGGCGAAAATTTTAAAAATATATCGCTTACGTACCCTTGATTGAAATTCATCGTGATCAAAATGCTTTGCGAAAATATACTTTTAAATCTACTCTGTTCTTTACCCGTGGAGCCACTGGAGCTAGGTACAGAACCTATTTTATAAAAGAGTCTGGCGCAGGAGATCTTTTGTAGAAATCTTGTTCTCTGGAGAAAATGTGTATATGGCCTTGTTTACAAACTACGATATTGTGTGGAAAATACCCTCAAAGTCCAAGTCGGTAAGTTGAACTTCTCACAAAATATTTGGCTGTGCCCAAGTTATACTGATTTTCGTGTACATAGGCATAGAGTGAGGTTTTTTATATATTGACAGAATGTTAATAGTAAAACAGATGTATTGTGTTCCCTATAAATAACCATTATATGATATCACAAAAAATTATGTCTATATCTAGCCGAGGGACCCCTTTGTTGAAATTGCCAATACTTATATAAGTACAATAATAAATTAAAAAAACAAAACAAAAAAGTTTTGAGCAAAAAGAAAGAGGGACGTGTTTTCCTCTTGTTGAAGCGAATTTTACACGAGTCATTTGTAGATCAAATTGTTTGTGGGGGGAAATATTTAATTAATTTTGATCCATATAAATGTGTTTATTGTGCTAGTTCATATATTTATTTTAGACAACATTATGATTACAACCGATAAAATGCATGGAAGAAATGCTGGATTTAGAATGGTCGTTCCTACATGTGCATTCAATCACGTGACGTCACCAAGAAAGACTATACTATGACGTCGCTAAGGAATAATGCTTTGACGTCACAATTGGCACTCTTATCAGCTGATAACAGTGGTGAGTATTTCTTTTTGCATATATTTCCTTTAAATCTTCATATACAATGTATTTGAATATGATGTAATTGATTTTTATTACATTTAGAGAATATAATGAAGTTCTGTGATTATTTACAAAGGGACTTGAATAAAATAAGAAATTAAATATAAATGCAGTGCCTTGAGATGAAGAATTCTGTATATACGTAGCACGCTTGTTTTGAATAGCTAGTGTCACCTACCAGAAAAAGGGAAAGGGATGGGTTGGTGGTGGTGGTAGGGGGAGGGGGGTGGGGGGTTGGCAATTGTGCTATTCGAACGGTCGAACCACAGCCAATTTATTTAGATTAACATAATATATATTGTATATTCCCCTCATTTTTAAATGCCTGAGGACTAGCTAGTCACTTTATTTTTCCCTAATACTTAATGCTTTAATTAATGCATTAAATATTTTTGTCTACAGTTAAAATCTTTCCCTTGTTCCCATTTGAACTTTCGAAATTTGCATTGCTGATATATTTTAAAGACTCTGAATTTGTACTTCCCGGATGTTTTGCGATTTGATATTCATTATAATTTTTTTTGCGATTACCTTGCAGATTGTTACTGAAGGAGAATTTCTTTGGAAATCCCCACAGTTGTAAACCCAAAACAACAGGTCCATTAGTAAGGATTTATAATTTCTAGTATATGCTTGATATTTTTTGAGTTTAGAACTACAAAGCAGTTCAAAACTGTTGTTGTAATTTCTTTCTTTTTATGCCTTGGATCGGAAGATCCCAGTGGTTGGATCGGAAGATCCCAGTGGTATATTGTTTTTGTCCTGTCTGTCTGTTTGTTTTTCCTCTGTCTGTTGTCAACATTAACCTAGCCCATAACTATAGACCCTTTTCCTGTGACATATTTTGTCTAGGAGTTATTCCCCTTAGCCGCCATTTTGTAGGGCAAAGAAGCGAATTTACTCTTTGAACAAGCAACCAATTTTAAACATGCATGCAAGAAATGTATGGGGGAAAATATTCGCAATCTTATAATCATGAATTAATAGATGCTTTAACAAACGTACATTCATAAGAAAAATAGCATTATCTTTTCCTCAGTAACCAGTATAACAAATTGAACTTGGTTGAATAATGAAAGGATCTGGGAATGTTGCCCTACAATATGGCGGCTAAGGGAAATAACTCCTAGACAAAATATACGTCATAGGAAAAGGGTCTATTGAGTGGATGGGGCTATGGGCTTTCATCTTTCATTTAGTACCACCAAATATGACCTTGGAGTTTGACCTACTTTTACAAAAAATAACACACTTTAACCTTGGTCATAACTTTTGACCAGTTCGAGCTAGGGCTTTTATACTTCAAATGTGAATTTATTCTGACAAGACCTTTCACTTGGTATAAATATTTTTGACTTTTTGACCTTGACCTAAGAGTTTGAACCACTTTTAGAAACTTTAACTCGGCTAGAACTAGGGTTTTCATATTTCACAGGTTAATTCCTTGTAACAAGACCTTCCTTTGGGTACCAACACTTTGACCTTGACCTGTGGAAATTTACATGCATTTGAGAGAATTCAGCCCTCTCCATAAGCTGCCATACCGGGCATCAGTGTTTCACAAACATATCATGTTTTTTTCTAACTTTTGAAAAATTTCATGAACTTCAAGGCTACAATATAAATTGATCTTTATTATGCAATTAAGCTTCTTCAGATATTGTCAATAATAAAGAAGACATGATCGTATTTTATATAATACCGGTAAGTGGTAAAAATTGAAGTTTTAATAAAAAAGACTCAGTTATGTTCAGTACCCCTACGCATGTATGCTCATTCAAGATTGGTTATAAATATTAAGGTGGTATCACAATAGCGGGGACCGGGGGGGGGGGGGGGGGGTCAAAAATTCACTGGAAGATAAAAAGACAGTTTTCTAAAACATTTTGAAGACACAGGGTCAAAATGACTCAATTGAGCCTATGTGGTCTTTCACCGTCTTTATGTCATTTGTTGGTCTTCTGATGGTTAAACACACCTGAGAGTTGACTAGACCCCCCCCCCCCCCGGGGGATTGTTTTAGGTTAAAAGACATGAACACCAGTTTGAATCCCACTGAAATTTCTGTCCATTTCTTTTTTAGGATATCTTGGATATAATGGATCTCGGTAACAAGAATATCCCATGCCTGGGCATGATTGAGGTAATCCTTTACATGTATCTATAAGTTTTTGATTTGAAATAAATTCACACAGACCAACTAATGTATTTATCAACATACGAATGCTTTCAAAGGCAGGGTAACAGTTTTTCGTGTTTTCTTGCACAAACGGTAGATTAAAATCTCAAAACTATTAAGTCAAATATCATTAATGGTAAATTTTTTTTAATTTGAATATTTAAGGTAGAAATTTAAAAAAAAAATCTGAAATTCTTAGAATTTTGAAAATTAAGAGTTTTGAACTAAAGTATTAAATTTCAATGTACCAAATCAGTTTGATTTTTTCAAATTTAGAAATTTTGAACAGATATATTTAAAGGAGATGGGTGAATTTAGCGTGCAGAAAGCCCAATAGCTTCAGATTATATATAAAAATCATATTCAAATTGTGAATCTAGTATTTAGAGTAAAGTTCCCATAATTGATTTTTATGAAATCATGATATAAAACAAAAAGTTTTGAGGAAAAATTTTGTTAAAATTTATCGTTATGTGTTGCATTCTCTATTGAGACTAGCACGATAATCACTACGCTACACAAGTCCTGATGAGGTTTGGCATTTAAATCATGTTTGTGATATGAACCATTGAATTAAGGGACTTCAAGTATTTCTTGAAAAGATACGAAAGTTATGTCATAAAATTATATTTTTAAGGTATAGTGGGTCATTGCTCCCTAATTTTGGAAAATATGTATGTTTTTATGCAATCTTTGAGGATTAACTTTCAAAAAAAATGGAAAGAAGACCCACTCATATCGAAAAATAGTGTTATAGTATATATAATATTTCATAGGCAAATAATTTCAATCTTGGTGAGTTTTTTGCAAGTTGTAAAGGTTTTCCATAAAGTATACTTTAATGTTTGATGAAATATTGAGGAAAATTTTGATAAAATTGAGATTTTATTTTTCACCTTCATGTTTGTCGAACTATGGGCTTATCTCTCGTCATGTTCACCCATCTCCTTCTAAAAATCGAAATCATTTCAGAAATTTGAATCGTTATGTATGGCACATGCACCAAATTCACAAAAATGAGCTAAACATTGTTTCACAGTCGATAAACTAGGTTTATCGGTTGTAAACTATAGTTTACGGACTGTAAACTATAGTTAACAACGTTTATCTATATTTTACATGTTTAATGCATAGTTAACGCGATAATCTATGTTTCACAACCGTTTTGAAAACAATCATTTGCGATTGCAAAACAGATTATCTGATAAATACATTCACGATTTGTAAACCATAGTTTACAAAAACTATAGTTAACGATCTAAATATAGTTTCACGATTTGTGAAACTATGATTAACATCTCTTAACTATAGTTTACGATCGTTAACTAAAGTTTACAAACGTGAATCTATGTTTATCAACAAAATCTATTGTTAAAGCTTATTACAGACAGATAAACTTAGATTATCATTCGTAAACTATAGTTAACAACCGTTAAATATAGTTTTACAGATGAAAACTATACTCGTTAACTATAGTTTACGGTTTGTAAACCGATAAACCTAGTTTATCAATTGTGAAACTAGGTTTAGCTAATTTTTGTGAATTGGGTGTGTCAATACTTACTGAAGATAGACAGAAATCGCATGTTGTTTTGATGCCCTGTATTCTGGAGTATATATAGTTTTTTGCTCTGTCCGGTCGTCTGTCTGTTTGTCCGCAAAAACTTTAACCTTGCTCATAACTTTAAGGTGAGTGGATTTATGGTTTTTATATTTTACAGGTATACTTATATTAAAAACCTGGAGTTTGACCTACCTTTACCCCAAAAATTCCACACTCTTACCTTGGCCATAAGTTGGCCAAGGTAACAACAAGGTAATAACTTTTTAAAAAGCTGAGGCTATAGGGCTTTCATACTTTAAATGTGTATTCACTGTGATAAGACCTCTCAGTGGGTATAAATATTTTTACCTCTTGACCTTGATCTCAGAGTTTGACCCACTTTTTAAAAACTTTAACCTTGACGACAACTTTTGAACAGTTAGAACTAGAGCTTTCATATTTCTCAGGTATATTCATTGTAATAAGACCTTCCTTTAGGTACAAACACTTTTTATCTTTTGACTTATTTGACCTTTGGAGTTCGACATGCATTTGAGAAAATTCAACCCCGCCATAAGCTGCCATACGGGGGCATACTGGGACATCAGTGTTTCACAAACACATCTTGCTCTTTTTCAACGATTGTTCAAGGAATGTTTAAAATGATGTTTATGGAAATCTTAATATGGAAGGGTTGAATATGACTATTCTGAATAATCGATTGACAAAATAGTGGCATAATTTTTTAGGTTTGCGGCGTTTGCATTTATGAAGCTTTGCATATAATTTATACACCTTTTTATGCATTAAAATAATATGCGTAAAGAAATGTGTAATAGGGTTCTTGGAATGACAACATCGTTTCTGGTTTGGATGATTTTATTAATAGTACAAGTATAAGTAGACCCTGTAATAACAATAACAATTATTAGACAAGATAAAAATATACATTCAACTGCAATACAGTATTTGTTATCATTATAATAAATTCATACTTTATAGTTCATATTCTTTTGTATTAAATCTATATAAAAATAATTACCACTTCTTTATCACAGATCAATTCATCATAAAAATAATTCCTTTAACAATTTAGCAATTTAAAATAAAAGAAAATCATAATAATTTATCATAATCATTATCTGATTTTAAATAATTCAGAATCAAATAATCTTACTGAACATTTACAGAAATACAGTTTCATGCATTGGACTGAATACAAATGAAATTCAATTCAACACAAAATATAAACATGCAAGACAAATACTCAAAATAAAGTTCTGTCAACACATACATATAATAGAACAACACAAACATAAAACACATAAATTACCTTCAATATGGTCAAAAGGTCTGGATGTTTTTTACATACTGTACTAGTAGCTAATACATGTAGCTGTTTTCAGTCCTATAAAGAATGCATAAAAATGAGTAATCTCCCTTAGCTGATATAAAAATCTTTAATAATGATAACTGATTAATGAAAAAACCTATGCTTTAATTAGAAAGGATTATTTAAATTATATGAAATAAAAGCTAAAATTCCTAATTTTTACGATAAATAATATTACAATTACACAAATTATTTATAAAACTAATTTTAAATTACACTTATTTATTCAATATTCCACATATATAGAATTTTCAATGAAATTAGAGTGAAATGTCAGGTAAAATAATCTCATTTAGAAACTTTAAATTTTAACACCTTTTTCACTCACTGTCATACAAAATCAAAATCACAATCATACAAAATGATATAACAACAGACCTGAGATCCTTGAAATACACCCTTGATGAAAATGTAGATGAAGTGAACATACAACTGAACACCCAAAATAGTAAACTCAGGGAATCACCAAAAAATACACACTGTCCTCTTGGACACAAAGACTGGTATGTTCTACCCAAAAATATCTACCCACAAAGAGATTTCCCTCCAAAATCTTGACCAATGAAAATTGTTACTAGGTCACTGACCTCTCAAAGTTTATAGCTAAAGTAAGTGAAAACTTATATCTAACAATTCTTAATTAATTTCTAAATTTTACAAGTATAATATATAAATAGATAATTAACTGCTGAAATATAAATAAGTTAATTAAATAAATTCCTGGAAATAATAATATCAAAATTATTTAATAGACAATAATAATAATATGCATATATATAAAAAAAATTAAATATTTACACTTTACCACAAATGTATAATATTCCACTTTTGGTATCAAAATAGAAATAAAGTATCTATTTGTTAGAAAATGACAAAGTGCATGTATATGCTGTTTCAGTTCAAAATTACTATACTTGTTTGCTGTGCTAGGTTTTACAAATATGCGTTCCCATTAAAATAATTCCTTATATATATATATATATATATATATATATATATATATATATATATATATATATATATATATATATATATATATATATATATATATATATATATATATATAAATTCAGGAATATTTGGAATTCAGTTGAAATCGATTTGAATATTTTTCATTCACACATGTAACTCTTTTCAGTTTGTACAAAATATATTTAGGGTCTCATTTACCAGAGAACTTATTAGAAAACAGAGACATGTTTTTAACTTTTTATTGATATTTTTTTCTCGGGAATATTATTCTAAGATTTTTTATATAAAAAAAATATCTGACCGGCAAAAAAAAAATCATAAACCTTAATTGGAGTAATTTGTTAAATCCATCTGAAATCATACTTTACCCTTTTACATTTCAAAATGTGCCTCTTTTATATATACATGTATATTCCTTTGATATACTTTGCACTCCAGGAGGAAGAGGATGATATTGAACAGGAACCCACTGCCACTCACGTTTTACAAAGAAGGGAGCTGGTAGGTGTATACTTGTATATATCGGCAATATCGGCACACAGAGTTCCTATATGTACTATACACATAATTTATTGAATTTATTCCATAGCATTTAAGCTCAAGTGAGCTTTCTGATCAAATACACAAGACCCCCCCCCCCCCTCCCCCGATATTCAACCCCAGGACTTATTGGACATGTCAGATTATATATATTACACTTATTCATTATGTGTACAATACGAAAAAATCGTAAAACCCCAAAATAATCGCTCCACAAAAAATACCCCACTATACATGTACTTTATAAGAGAATCTCTCTCATAATGTATAGAGCGTTATTTTTTATGGGGCACGATTATTTTGGGGGTTTTACGATTTTTTTGTATTGTACACACGATGAATAAGTGTAATATATATATAATTTGTGAAAAAAAGTTCAATTAGCCCTATGGTTAAATATCGAGGTGGGGGGTCCTGTCCACAACTACCTGTGATCAAATTTTGTTTGACGTCTGCCTGTAAACTTTTCACATTTTCCACTTCTTCTCAAGAACATCTGGGTCAATTTCAACCAAACTTGCCTCAAAGCATCCTTGGGTAAAGGAGATTCAAGTTTGTTCAAATGAAGAGCCACGCCTTCTTCCACGGAGAGATAATAGTAAAAATTTGGTGTTATGTTTCAAAAATCTTCTCAAGAACCACTGTGGCAGGAAAGATGAAACTAATGTGGAAGCATTCTCAGATAGTGTAGATTCAAGTTTGTTCAAATCATGACCCCCGGGGGTAGGGCGAGGCCACAATGGACGATCAAAGTTGTGATCAGACGAATTGATACGAAAGTATACTCTGGTATTTGTAGATTCAATGTTATTCAAATCATGGCCCCTGGCGGTAGGGTGGGGAGAATGTTTTACATAAAAATCTTCTTCTTAACAACAAAGCTGTTTAGTCAATGACATATTGATATGGAAGCATCCTCAGGTAGTGTAGATTCAATTTTGATCTAATCACCCCTCAACCCCCCAGGAGGGTTAGAATTAGACCCACTTGTACCAAAATGTTCTAAACTTCATCCTTATAGCTTTTATTAATAGTTGTTGATAGGGCTTTGTCGATTTGATACTCCGCACGTGTATTCACTGTGACATGCACTTTTAAATAAAATAAAATATTTGACTTTCAAAGTACATTAAATTTTGCCATAACTTATGACATTTGAACCGTTACTATTAGGGTTTTCATATTTTACGGGTGTATTCCCTGTGACAAGACCTTTCTTTAGATATCAACAATTTTGTCCTTTTGACCCTGTACTTTAACGCACTTTGAAAAAAAAATCATTTGAAACTAATAAAATTCTAGCATTGGATTTTATAATACACACATGATTTTGTAATGAATATATCTCGAAAAACTTTTTTTTTAATTTACATGTAATTTAACCTCATTGAGAAGGAGAAGTTTTTGTCGTGTCCTCATTCCAACTGTGTTTTGTCTTATACATTGTACATAACTTTTGATTTAGTGGAGTAGACTTTCATATTTTACATGTATATTCCTTGTGAAAAGACCTTTCTTTGGGTACAACCAAATTTTTTTGACCTTACATATATTATGTATATCTTTCACACCAAAAACACTTTTGTGGGATTTAATTTTTGAATGGCAGATACTATGACTTTCATGTGTCACTCATGTATTTTTGTAACAAGACCTATTATTGGGTATCAACGCCTTTGACCTTGGAGGTTTATTTACTTGAAAAATAAACTTTAACCTTTCAATAAAATTAAAGTTTCACATATATAATTCGCAAGCAAACTGGAAAATTAAGTACAGTAAAGCATTTAAGAGAGAAAAATTTTCAATCCTTTGAAGGGTTAGGGAAAAATCTTGTTATTAATGTGACAAGACCTTTCATTTGATACCAAGAACTTTGACCCTTTGACCTTGAACTTGGAGTTATGAACAAGTTTTATTTTTATCATAACATTTGAATATATGCTAACTTTGAAAAAAAAATTTCAAAGTGCGTAATTTTTCAAAGTGCGTTGTAACAGACCACAAAGAATTAGACCCACTTGCACCAAAATGTTCTAAACTTCATCTCCATAGCTTTTATTAGTAGTAACTGTTGATGATAGGGCTAGGGCTTTCAAATTTCACAATTGTATTTCTTGTGAGAAGACCTTACTTTGGGTACCAACGTATTTGATTTGCATTTAAGAAAAGTTAATCTTCGATATGTTGACATACGGAGGCATCAGTGTTTCACAAACACATCTTGTTTTGACTTTTCTCTACTCCTAGACCACCAGTTCCACCATGATAATGATGCACCTTGTACATGCGCCTGTGGAAAGCAGTTACGAGAGATTTAGACCGGTTAGATCTTATTTTCTGTACAACTAGTAAATAAGCATACTATTGCTAGAGTAAAGTAATAAAAAAAGTTTACATTGAGGATAAAACTTATTTATAGATGCAAAATGACAGTAACATACATTTCGATATCTACATGTTCCTATGTGACTTGAATATCTATTGAAAATATTGTTTTATGTTTACACTAGTCGTCCATTGCTGGTATTATGCCTACTATTTCTGAGGAACTGGAAAAGGTAATCTCACTTGCGCATTAACAATTACATGAAACACTTTGTGATTTTTCTATATGTTTACCAAAAGATAGAATAGATGTTCCGTCAAAAGATTTTTTAATGTATTCGATGATTTGAGTATTCTTTTAAAAACCCGGGTATATCATACCCATAGACACTTGACGTTACACATTTTTCCTGTCTAAAACAAATCTGAGAATACCGACGTTTGGCACACCTCGGCCGCTTCGTTCCTCATATAATGGGTTGATGGTGGTGGCGGAATCGTCTGAGGTTTTCAGATTGTTTATACCCAGTTAATATATTTTTTTTGAATAAGAAAGATATCTAATGAGTTGATGAAGGTGACGGAATCATCCGAGGTTTGCCAATTGTTTTTTTTTTTATAAGAAAAATATGTAACACCAAGTGCCTGTGATCATACCTATTTACCAGAAGCCTCTGATGATATAACTCTTATAATCATGCTCTACTGAACTTATGTGGTTGTTTTATCCTTTAGACCTCACCCATTCCCTCCAAAACTGGCATATCTAGAGAGAGCATTGAGATGGAGGTAATGTATTTTTACGTTTTCAGTATAAAGTATTTATACACAAAGTTTTTGCGTATTTTGTGGGATTTTGTGTAAACCATGGGTATTCTCTGGTTTCTGAGTACATGTAGATTAAATATTAATGTATATTAATGTACATATTTAGGTGAAAGACCATATTTTCCTTTACTCATCACAATTGTACAACTTTAAATAGAAATGGGAAATTGTGTTCGAAACTATTAGGGACTACAATTTTTGCGGAATGTTGGCGTATGAAAATATGTCTTACATATTTAGGTGAAATACCATATTTTTCTTTACTCATCACAATTGTACAACTTTAAATAGAAATGGGAAATTGTGTTCGAAACTATCAGGGACTACAATTTTTGCGGAATGTTGGCGTATGAAAATAAGTATCTTCTTTTCTGCCTCTAAAATTATTATAGAACTACGAATTTTGTTATAAGTTTTACACAATCAAAGACTAGAGGATTATTTTCAAATGTTAGCTAAATTAATAAGAAGGAACTTAAGTTTTAAAATACATCAAATAAATATGAATTTCAAAAAAACTACAATTATTTTAGCTTTTAAAAGCTTCCAATCTAAGTACAGATAACGGGTATGAGCCAACAATCCATAGAAAGTGTTTTACTCTCTTGCTAAACGGTCAAAACTTTTTTTTTTTTTGTATCATTTTGTATGTCTATAAGACTTCTTTACAATATGTGAAAATAAGAAAAATTTAAAGATAGGGCTCATATAAAAATAACTTAAATATCCTAAAAATATAAGAAAAATTGAAGAAATTCGAATTACCCAAAATCCATTTTTGTTAAACTATTTGTGTCAATTTGGTAATATAGTCTTAAAGACCCTGTATGGTAAAATCTTTTTATGAAAAAAGAAGAACATTTTATCTTTTGAAATAGAAGACCCTATTTAATGATTGGATGTATTTATTTTTATTCTTAATGACCAGGGAAAAGGTAATGATTTTGACCTGACCTTGACTCTAATATAAAACGGCCAAAACAAATCTAACTCATACCATCACTTCATAATATTGTCTTCTTGATTCTGTGAAAATTTCATTAATTTTTAAATACAAGAAATACAGTTTTGTGTGGGAAGAATCCTACCTTAATGAATTTATATTTAGAATCTTTACAAGACATTCACTTTATATTTCATGTAGGCTAGGAGACTCTCTCTAACGGCAATTCAAAGTGCCTTTTCTGCCGCCGTGCTAGTGTCAGAGGGGGGCTGCCGTGCACGTAAGGTAAGAAAACGGGAACAAATTTCATAAATTTGGAGGTCAAGTCCTGATCACCCTTTGTCCATCCTTCTGTTCGTCTATTTGTCCGTAAACTTTTCACATTTTCAACTCCTTCACAAGAACGACTGGGTAAATTTTAACCAAACTTGGTACAAAGCATCTATGGGTAAAGCGGAGTTTAAATTTAAAAAAAAAAAGAAAAAAATCTTTTTCTCAAGAACCACTGTGCCAGAAAAGCTGAAACTTATGTGGAGGCATCCTTAGGTAGTGTATCGTCGGATACACACGGGTGATCTCGTCGGAGTAAAAGACGAGATTACGATGGGTATCCGACGATGGGGGTAGTGTAGATTCTAAATCATTCTTTACAATGAATTATATAGGTATTGGAAAAATCTTTAAAAAATTTATTCTCATGAACTGCTTGGCCAGCTGAAACTTATGTGGAAGCATTCTTGGTTAGTGAAAATTCTTAATTTTTTATATCAATACCCCAGGGGGTAGGGCGGAGCCACAAAAGGGAATCCAAATTTAATATGAATTATGTCGGAAAAATCTTTAAAAATCTTATTTTCAAGAACCGCTTGGCCAGAAAAGCTGAAACTTATGTGGAAGCATCCTGGGGTAAGTGTACATTCTAAATTTATTTTAATCATGACACTTGTGGGTAGAGTGGGCCACAATAGTGAATCAAAATTTTACATTGAAATATATATATGTATGTATAGGAATTTCTTTAAAAATCTTCTACTCACAACCACTCGGCCAGAAAAGCTGACACTTATTTGAAATCAATTTATAGGTAGTATAGATTATATAGATTCTTAATTATTCAAACTATAACCCCGATGGTAGGGCTTGGCCACAAAAGGGAATTCAAGTTTTACATTTCAGGTACTCCGATCCTCAGGTTCTGAAAATCAAGTGTTGACTAATTGAAAATGCTCACAAAAATGTCTCTGAATTTTCAAAGTAAAGTGTTTTTACCCATAATAATTCTTAAAACTTCATCTTTCCAGTTAATCATATTATATAGAGCAAATTAGTAAATATCAAATATATTTTCAGGAATTGCGAATAAAAACACCTTCTATGCATTTTCCAATTCAAATCTGATCAATTAACACATTTTAAGAATAAAAAATCATAGGTATCCAGGCTTTTGAAGAAAATCCACATTTTTTATACATATAATGTACTTTAATTTCTTTTATTTACTTCGATCATTATGCAAAACAAAGTGTAAAAAGATTTTCCTGTCATTGCAAAGCTCCATAAATCACTTCTAATTTCATATCATGTTAATAAACATTGGTATCTATGGTAAGATTAAAATGAACATCAATTTCATGATATATGTAATTTTAAAATGCTTTCAAGGGGTAAAAATTTCGACTTTTAATTAGACCTTTCTGAGAACTTCAAAGAACCTTGAAGCACGTTGAGAGGTATAAAATGAAAATTGTTGCATGAAAAGATTAAATTTTCAAGCTTCATTTTGAGAATTTTTGAATTAATTTATAAATTAAAGAGTTGTCCTTCCTGGCGGAGGTTCGGAGTCCCTTAAAAATATTTTTTAAAAATCTGTAAAAACTTCTACTCAAGGACCACTAGGCCTGGAAAGCTAAAACTTATGAGGAAGCATCCTGGGGTAGTGTAGATTTTAAATTGTTCAAATCATCCCCCCCCCTCCGATGGTAGGGCTGGGCCACAAAAGGGAATTCAAGTTTTCCATTTAAATATATAGAAAAAATCTTCTACTCAGCGACAACTAGGACAGATAAGCTGAAAGTAATGTGGAAGCATCCTCGGGTAGTGTAGATTTTAAATTGTTCAAATCATGACCCCAGATTAGGGTTGTCAGGGCCACAATTTGTATAACAAGGGGTGAAATCTGGTGAAAAACAGCACAATATCATTAAAATTAGATGTTAGACCCGTTCACATACCCCTTACACTAACAAGTAGCAGCATCCCACAAAGGGTCATGTCAGAGGTGAAATGGAACACTCTAAAATTATTCGCTTCAACAAATATACGATGATTTTGCAGGCGACGATTTGATTTGGTTGATAAAATTTGATCTCTGACGTGACCCTCTATGGGATGTTGTTAGATGTTAAGGGTAGCGAGTATGCTAGCGGATCTAACATCTTATATTAATTAGATTGAGCACAGCATGGCCAAAGTTACTCAGGTGAGCGTCGTGGCCAATGGGCCTCTTGTTAAAAGAAGAGATTTATATTTAAAAGAAACCCTTTTCAATGTGATAGGTTAAGAAAAAATGGATTTGAAATTTTAATCAATAAATTTAATTGAAATCTTAAAATGATATCGTAACTCCTTCAATGATATATGAGCTTTATTGTATTATAAAATCCCATTATAAAATCCCATTTCAGCCGAAGCGCAACTTTTTCAGAGGAATTGCATCCTGCTTCCGAGCATGCTTCGGGTGTTCTAGGGATTAATTTAAAGTTTATATATGTATAGTACTTTTTTCAAGAAAACAATTATATATTTTATAAAGTATCGACGAGGTCGAGATTAACTTATGCTATATCCCAGGCTCAGCGTCAGCGTCCCAGTTTAAAGTTTTAGGAACACGTCCATTCCCAAGTAAATATAAGACCGACCCAGCCAAACTTGCATGGATGATGCATCTAGGGATGGACACTACCAGACTTGCTTCCATTTAATGGATCTGACTTACATTTTCCATATGAGTGACCAGTTTAAGTATTTGGAGTCCAAACCCATTTAATTATAACCCCTACCCAGACCAAACTTGCATGGATGATGCATGTAGGGATGGGCACTACCAGACTTGCTTCAGATGCTGGATCTGACCTACATTTTCCAGATGAGTGACCATGTTAAAGTTTTGGAGCAGGTCCATTCCCAAATAACAGTTACAATAAGCCCTACCTTCACCAAACTTGCATAGATGATGCATCTAGGGATAGACACTGTAGATAAGCTAGGAAAACAGAAATGCTTTGTAACACAGACAAGCCAAGATTGAGGTTGAGGAATCTAGGTTTGCCAAACTTTGCAAAATTGGTGATGCCAGAATGGGAGTTATTTCAAATATGTTGGCTTGGGAACATTTTTTCTAGGAGATGGTGCTATTGTCACCTAGAGATACTGTTTGAAATGGCTTTTGGAGATACAGTGTATATTTAAATTTTTTTATAAATAGATATACTTTTATAATAATTTATTTCAATGAAATATTGTTATTATTTTGGTATTTATTGTTGTTGATGCATGGGTGAAAATTTTTAGTTCTATTTTTTGAATTGTAAAAAATGTCACTAGTTTGGTAAAACATTATGAAATTGAATTATTATTGTATTTTCATTATTTTTTTCAAAAATTGTTAATGAATGTAAATAAACCCATTGCAATATTACATGTATTTGTGTTTATTTATTAAGCTAAGTTTCATTAACCTGGACTCTGAAGTAAGGTGATGTATTTGTCAACCTTGTATTTTGCTAGATTAATGCTATTGAAATTGAAAATATTTTAATCTTTGCAAAATATTATTATTGTTTTTTTAAATTTGGTTTGTTTGGGTTTTTTGGGGGGGATTGTCAAGCCCCCCCCCCTTTCAAAAGGGATGCTACATCACTGATAGTAATGTTTCTGGAAAACACAGGAAGCCTCATCGTCGCAAACCACGGCCAAAATGTACGATCCTCTCCCATTCTGGAGAGAGCTGTATGCGGACTCCGGGCGGTGGCTTGAGACGTTGAGGTAGCCTAGGTTATGAAAACGCAGGTAGATTATTAAAAAAACCCAGAGTATATCACAGTGCACCGTGCACAGAACTTTAATCAGTAATGGAAAATGACGTCAAGTCTGGCGTGGGCGATGGATGAGCATAGGCGTAGTCACAGGGGGGCAGCGGGGGCACTAGCCCCCCCCCCCCCCACTTTCAGATCTGGGGGGGGGGGGCAAGAGTATGTCTGTGCCCCCCCCCCCACTTTTTAATGAAGAACAAAATCACAGCTATTTTGAAATAATATTTAACCTCATTTTATGGGATTTTTTTATGTTCAACAACTGAGTAAGCATTTCTCTTGAAGTAATAGTTGTATAATATAGTAATGTAATATAGTAATTAAATCGTCAAGACCTGCCCCCCCCCCCACTTTTTTCCCCAACATTACCTTTGTTCATTGAAGGGATAGTCCCCCCCCCCCTACTTTTTCACCATAGTATAGTGATATCGAAGAATTGTGGGGAAAAAATTAAAATTGAAAGTAACGTGCCTTTGAAAAAGTTGGCCACTAACCCCCCCCCCCCCCCCCCTTTCCACGAAATAGGATTTTCCAGTTTGGGGAAAATCGGTTTTTGTTTTTTTTTTGTTTTGCTTGTCAAAGAATTTCTGGAGTTGAGCCCCCCCCCCCCCACTTTTAAGTTTGTGACCACGCCTCTGATGAGGATTGATTTGACATTGTGAGGAAAACCACATCAAATTTGTCGGTAAGTTGAACTTCTTACGAAATATGTTGTACCCAAGTATTGAAGTAATACTGACTTTTTTCCCAAGCACATTTCGGGTACACAAGCATGCGATGTTTTATTTAAATAGGCCTGATAAAATTATATGAAACATTTCAGAAAAATATGAATATTAAACAGTTACGTGATCAACAGTCATGTGATATCCCAAAGGCCTTTGTTTTTAAAACAAATTATATAAATTATAAAAGTTTAAAACCAAAAATATGGAACGCCATCACTGCCTTATAACATACAACTATGCATTTATTATGTCAATTTATAATTACGTGATGTGAACATATCTTTACGTTATGTCCATTTTTTATGAGATGATGTAAATATATCTTAACATCATGTCAATGCTGCATTACATGAAGTAAATACATCCTTTCATTATGTCAGCACTTCATAACTTGAAGTAAAAAATTCATTATGTGAAGTGATAATGTGTTTACATTGTGTTAAAACTTTATTACGTGAAATGAATGTTTCTTTACATCATTTCATTTCTTTAATATGTGAGGTCAAAATTGCATTACGTCAAGTAAATTGTGTTTTATAATTAAACTTATCATTACATGAAGTCAAAACCCCATTCCTTTTTGAGAGTGTATATTTCTATTATATCAAAGCATTATTACGTTATATGGATTTATCTTTATTTTACGGCGAGGGCATCATGATGTGAGGTGAACACATCTTACCTTTATGTCAGTGCTTTATTACGTGGTGTAAAAAGTGTATAACATAATGTGAACATATCTTTATATTATATCAATACTTTATTACATTATGTTAAAACTCCATTCCGTGATGTGGATATATAATTACGTTATGACAACTCTTTCTTATGTGATTTAAAAATATCTTTATATTGTGTTAACTCTTTATCATGTTGATTCCAAAAGTTCATTACCTGATGTTAAAATACATTTACATTATCTCAAAGCTGTATATCTAGTATATAATGAATGTTGACGACCGTGTGTTAATGACTGGTAAGAAGGGGGAGGGGTCCTGATTGATTAGGACAAATTACAGGCACATAATATCAACCAACCCCCCCTCTTTTCCCCAGACATAACTTTACTATAGAAAATGTAATGTTCATTGAAACTGTACAGCCCCCACCCCCACTTCTTGTTGAAGTATAGTCCACTAAGGATAATGTAATATATCTGGGAAAAAATGGGACTGATTGAAGTTGGACCCCTCTCCCCGAAATAGGATTTTCGGGCTTGGACTTTTTTTTCCCCCTGGCTTGTCAAGTTTTTTGGGTAAATGATTTTTTTTTCTGGCTGACCTCCTCTTTCAAAAAAAGATGCTACGTCACTGGAGCTAGTAATTTTTTTTAATCATTCCAGGGCCAGAATTCTATTACAAAAATCTACCAGTCGCTCACCTAAATCAATTGAATATGCCTTAGTAAGCATGCATGGGCACATATCAGTGGCAGATATGGGAATCTTGAACAAGGAAGGGGGGTGGTATATGGTTGGAGACCAAGACGGAAAGCGGAGAAGCTCTCAGGCTTTATAGTTTTATAGAAAAAAGTTTTCAACTTAATTCAGCTAAACTTAATGTGAAACTAATGCAATGTCCTACAAAGTTTAAGACTTTTATGTAAACTAATGCAAACAAAAAGACTTTTATTAAAAAAAAAAAAACAATTCAAAATAAAAAGAAAAAAAAATGATTGCTGCACGACTCATAATATTTGATTTATTTAATTATCAGATTAAAGTAAACACCATTGAATTTCGACGTGACTTTAATTCACAGTCGCAGTGTAAAGGCTTTGCATGTTTCAAGATTGTCAATCCATTCTCGCTTAAAGTTTTCATTTAAAGATGTCATTCCGAAATCGCTGAGAATCTCTTCTACGACAGTTTTCTCTCCCACCATGTTTAGTGCTTGCGGAACGCGGAAAATACGTTATGCTCATATAAAGGCCGAGGATACCCGTGTTCGCATAACGTAATAGTGAATCGACATAATGTAGAAGAGTGCGCACAGTATGGCATGAGCTTTTCACATCAGTTAATAAAAACTAAGATTGTCATGAAAAGTAAACATAACGAAATGCAAGTTGACGAAATAAAATTGTAGTATGTGTAAATGTCATAAAGAGTTGACACAATGTAAAGGAAAGTTAACACGATGCAATAGTAGTGTGGGTTAATGTCATAAAGAGTTGACATAATGTAATGGAAGGTTGACACAATGCAATAGTAGTGTGGGTTAATGTCATAAAGAGTTGACATAATGTAATGGAAGGTTGACACAATGCAATAGTAGTGTGGGTTAATGTCATAAAGCATTGACATAATGTAATGGAAGGTTGACACAATGCAATAGTAGTGTGGGTTAATGTCATAAAGAGTTGACATAATGTAATGGAAGGTTGACACAATGCAATAGTAGTGTTCTGCTATAAGGCAGTGACGGCGTTCCATACAAAAACGACATTGCATTACGTTTTGAACGAAGATATTCTTCTCTTGCTCATGCCCCCTAATTCTTTTGCCGATATCTTACATATACTATAGAATACATAGCCACTATATATATATATGTTCGTGCCTCAGTAAAACCGTAAACGTTTGATATTTATTTTAGCTCTTCATTCATTCATTTATATAAAATATAAAATGCAAAGAGGAAATGCTGATTTAGCGTTATCGTTCCTACTTTCACGTAAAGTCACCAAGAAGGACATCTTCGCTAGCCAAGGGTGACGATCCGCTCCTCTCCTCTTTTTGCCAAGGGTGAAAAGAGCAGAGGAGCGGATCGTCACCCTTGGCTAGCGAAGATGCAAGAAGGACTACTGTGACGTCGTGAAGGAATAATACTTTCAATTTGACGTCACAACTGGCACTTATCATCTGATAAAAGTGGTGAGTATTTCTATGTCATATTCCATCAAATTCCTTTCTGATCACATTTTGTCTGGCGTCCGTCTGTCTGTAAACTTTTCACATTTTCGACTTCTTCTCAAGAACCACTGGGCCAATTTCAACCAAACTTGACACAAAGCATCCTTGGGTGAAGGGGATTCAAGTTTGTTCAAATGAAGGGCCGTGCCCTCATTCAAGGGGAGATAATTGAG